CGCTGTTGTTTTAGCTGTTTTAGCGCAGTTAAATTGTTGATCTTGGTCTTTCAGAACCCTGCTGTGTTATCTGTGGATGTGTGTCTAGCTGGTGGAGAGACCAGGTGATTTTCTGGGTGGTGCGACGGGTGTAGATTTTGAAGGTTTCGTGTCTTGAACGATGACACTTGTGTCAGCTTCATTTCATTGGCGTAGAGGTCAAGGCGTCCAAACTGTTTTTCAGAGGTGAGGAGAGATGTTTCTATTGGGGGAGTAGAAGATCAGCCACATGACTTTTACAGATCTGGTCTGAGGTCTGTGTTTTGAACAGCAACAAAAGTTCTATTTCCATTCCATGACCCAATCTGGGGTCACTGCCCACCTTTTGAAAACCTTTTTTGTGCTCCTAAACAAAGATGTTTGTGGCGGCTGATACTGTAGCTGTGCTGCTAGCAGATGTGCTTCAGCTCTGTTTGCATGTTGTTTCTCTCCCTCAGATTTACACCCAACAACTCTCCACTGCACCACGACTTTTCTAAATTCTGCCGTTGTCTCCGGCTATTGTTTATTACTGTGCTACTTGCGATTATTGGATCAACAAATGCTGCAGTGTTGTACTTATTGTCGGTCGCTGTGGCTCAGGGCTCGGCTTTAATGGCCAGATTGTTATACTAAATTGTAGCTGACACCTTTATGTCCAGCCGTCCTATCCCGGCCAGTCCTGCCCTCGAACGATGTGAATGAACTTTTCTGAACTTTGCCTTCTCTCTCCTCTCTAAAGGCCTGTCTGCTTCCTTCCATTGTTCACCATCACCCAGTGGAGACCGAACTTTACACGGCCAAGGACATTTTTGTCTACATTCGGGACCATTGTAGTGAATTTACAACATGGTGCTGAAAGAGGTTTGAAACTTGGTTGCTTTCAGTGAGATCCTCCGGCCTGCACATGCTCAGAGTAAATCATTGTAATAGCTGAGGAAGTGGTGTTATTGAAGGCAAAGTGTTCCTACACTGAGCCACTTGTTGTCATGAGCCGTACACGAGGGAGTTCAGGCGTCAAAGGTCTGTTCTGATTTCCAGGACTCTGTCATGAAAGGCTTCAAACGCCTCTGTACTCTGTGTAATGTACATTTCTAAAGCAGGTTCAGAAATCACTGAGGACCCTGAAGTCTCCCTGGAGCTTTTTTTGGGGGGGGGGGGAGTATGTAAAGGTTGAAGACAATGGTAAAACAAAAATAAATAATAATGTCGCAAAAAAGCTAACGGAAGATTTTCACAAGCTAACTTGACAATATTTGAATATTATAATACCAATAATGCATACATATTGTGCACTTTGTTTCTTTGTCATTATGGGATTTCAATTCTCTTTTGTATCGTCCTCAGGAGGCGGGCCTGACCCAAGGTCAAGTAAGACGGAGAAATAATCTGACAGAGAGAACGTCAGTGTGTTTAATCACACACACAGTGAAGCAGCTCTTTAATGTGAATGGGCAGCTGTTTGGTTTGATGACGGCCCTCAGTGAGTGGCTTTGGCTCAAAGCATCTGTGGTGAAGAAGTCAATGAAAGTCAATGAGACTGTTAATTCCTCAAACTGTGTTTGCACAGCGTCTGCTGACCCCGCGGCCCCTCTGTGGAGCCTAGTGAGCGGCCAATAAGAGATGCTAATGGCTTCGTTAGCGTGCTTGTTAGTGCCTGGATGTGATTATTCATAATTTGAGAGACTGTTGACAAGGTCAGCAGGTCAAGTAGAGTTGAGCACCCTGGGAGATGTTCCTCCTTATCTCCTTACCTCGGATCAACCTTTACCTCCTTCTCCTGGTGGAGTGGCGATACCTGCGTGTTAAAAGTGGATCATTCACAAGGACTGGCCTGGATCTTTGAACTGTAGACCACGAAGACAGTTAAGTAGTAACAGAGCATTTATTTTGAGATAAATTAATGAAAAATATTGCAGTAACTATGACAGGTGTGACAGAAGGCAAACACACAAATATGAGTGGACACTAATATTGTCTGAATGGTAGTCTGGGACTTTAACTTATTTGGTCACAACCCATTTTTGTTGAAGTAGTTGACTGCATTGCATTTAATTGTAGACTAGATATTTTTCTGTCTATGTAACTGTAGAACTCTCTGCGGCCCTGACCCATTTCTCACCTGAGTGGGAAGAGACAACGGTAGAACTCTCAGTCAACAGATGTGTTGTGTTCGTGGGTAGATTTTTTGTTTAAGCTGGATTTCCAGTCATCCTCTCTGACTCTGCTGCTGTTTGTGTTCCAGGAGTTTTCAAACATTTGGACAAACACACCCATGTGTGTGTTTGTTTGTGTATGGACCCAGATCGTCAGCACTGATTGGACGTGCCACTGTGATGGACTGTTTCTGCGGTCAGATGCTACAGGTGATGTCACTGTTCAATGTTTTTAAATATTAACAACAACATTGCTATTTTTATCATTAACATACCAATTATCACTCACAGTCTGTGTGGCTAGAGTAATCAGTGATGTCATGAGCTGGCATTTCTTCAGCCAATGGTAATAAAGCAGGGACGTTTCTCAGAAACCCGCAGGTCACAGATATGAGATCAGTGACACAAACGGCAGAGACGGCTCCTGTTTTTCCAGGTAGTGCAACAGGCTTCACAGAACAAAGCTGTCATTTTCGTTCCTCCTAGTAGTGCAGATTCAGTAGAGACATTACGGTTGGTTGGTGTGACCAAGAGCCAACATGTTTGTCTGCCTGGGATTGGCTGCTGACTTCCTGACATTGTTCCTCCTTCCTGTCGTCCANNTTCCTTCCTTTCGTCCTCTTTTTCCTGGGAGCAACTTCTTCAAAGTAAATGAAGAATCAGCAGCGGCTCAAATGTAAATGACCCCTACAGGTCAGAGGTCACCATAGATATGAGGACGATGGTTGGTGTTCCTTCAAGATTCCAAGTTGTCACTGAGCAGTCACCTGATCAACAAAGGTAAAGGTTTTTGCAGTGTTGGGAGGCGTCTTCAAAGTCCTTCAGCGTTGTCACGTGAACATGTGACCTGCTGTTCATGGATAGGCTGACCAAACACGCTGAGACAGTGGAGAAGGTGAGGAGGTCACGGAGGTCACATCACTTAACTTTTACAAGGGATGCCCACTTTGATGAGACGAGCTGCAATCAGACATCTGAAAGACGACACAAAGGGAATAAAAGACACAAATGACACTTCATTCCTACTGAGCCATTAACGTCTCCTCGGCGTCATTTACATCCTAATGCCACACCTTGACTGATAGAACTGATGGCTCTCTGATGTCTGCGCTGGTAAGACACACACACACACACAGGCAGGTTATCTGATGGAGTGGTTGAGGACCAAATAGAGGTTAAAGGATGTAACAGGTCTTTGCCACTTTTCGGAGAGCACAAATCCTCTGTTGAAAGAGAAAGACAAAAAAAGATCCATTGTCCTGGAGCCGACCGTCATATAATCATCTCAGCCTCGCTCTGCAGATCACAGCATTGTTTGCACATTTGTTGTGCTTCTCATTGTCTAGGTCAGTGGTTCTCCAACTTTTTCTACTCTGTACCACCTGAGAAAACATTGATCTCTTTGAGTACCACCATGATGACCAGCATTAGAATATAGCAGCATAGGCCTTCCCTGTTAGCTTCCACCACACAGGAGAGATGTTTAGAAATATGTTTGTGTTTGAATGTTGTATTAATTGTGACTGGTATGTTTCAGATTTATTCAATTGAAAATGTAAATGTGAAAATATAAACTAGAGAGCGCTTGCAGTTTGAGAACCACGGGTCTAGGTTATTTATGAATTAATGTCCCAGGTCCTTGAATCGCAATTTTAAACCAGTTTCATGTTTTGCATAGTTGGTCTGACAGAAAACAAATCATTGTGTCTTGAAATGACTTTTTCAAAACATTCTCGTTGCAGGATTTTAATCCTTTGACCACTTGTCCACCTACTGATTAAATGGACCACAAGAGGCAAAACAACTACTGCTGTAATTGGAACAAGCCGTAGACTGGGACGAGGTTTTCTCCAAACCCTAACCTTAAATAGTTCCCTGTTTTATCCGACTGCTGCACCTGTGTTGAACTGTAAGTTTACCCCAGTCTTGTTCTCCACCTCTGTCACCAGTCTGCTGCTACGTCCACGGTACATGAGGACACTGGTCATGTTGGGAAGTGCTTGGATGGTAACCCCTGAATGCCTTCCAGACCTGGACATTCTTTCACGCCTACTCTGTCTTACTCTCTCTCTGTCTCTGTGTTTGAATCTTTTCATCGACCTTCTCTGCTCTGTTGGCCGCCTTCTTCTTTACCCTAGTGTTGGTCACCAGTTCCATCACTGGAGATGTTCAAGTATAAGCCATAACATTTTAAAAATCAAATTTTATCTCCAACTAGGTACCAACTCCACCATACTCTTCATCTAGGGATGAGCACATTTTGTGTTTGCCAAAAAAAGTAAAATTTCTATGAACCAATGAACACATTATTTGTGCTGAACATATGACACTATATCTGGATTGACGATAAATCAACCAGAAATGACATACTATACTGTGACTTTTTTCTTTTAAAAAAGCCTCAAAATACTCCTTTATGTTCCTAAATATGCATCAATGTGAATATTTTGTTTTAAAATGAAAAAACTCTTTGTTAACACTGGACTCAAAAACGATAAACTATAATGTGATCTTTGCAACAAAAACAAAATCCTCAAAGTGGTTGAATTTGCCCCCAAATGTGGACGGATGTGAATATTTTGTGGTAAAAAATGCCATAAAACATGATATCTTTTTTTGTTGTTGTTTGTTTTGTTTTTGTTTTTGTTTTTGTTTGGTTCCACCTAGAATGTTATCATGTCATAGACTATAAAAAGGCCAAACCTTAACAGAAGAAAATGTTCATTGTTTTGTTCAAACTTTTCTGTGATTGTTGATTTTCAGCCTTGATGTTTCATGTCTGTGTTGTTAGCCTCGCATCAGCTGCAGCTGCACAGATCAGGGTAAATGTGAGTAAAGAGATGAAGAAAGAGTTTGGTCACTGCAGACACATTCTGATGTCAGGTGTGAACTGGATCACAGAATCTAGATACACCTGGATACTGGCTGAAGACACACACACACACACACACACACACACACACTGTCACTCACATACAGATGCCAGCCAGCCACCCACACCCACAAATGTGCATTTTTGTGCAAACACATCCATCATCCAGTTTCACTTTACGTTGGCCATGTATATTCCCATGATCCATCACAGTCCGGGTGTTTATTTAGCCACTGGCCAATTATTCATTGTCACCTTCAAAGCACTATCTCGTCCTCTGGGTGGAGTGATGCGTTTGAAGGTGAGGTGAAGAAGAGGGAAGTGTTTTTATGACAATCATGTGAAAATACCTTTTTTCCCACAAAAGTCCACATATTTAAGATTGAAGAATGTTTATTGTCATGTACATTGTGAGAATGCATTCACAGTGCAACAGTGTAATGGGAAAAAAGCATGTTTTTGGCATTTTTATACCAAACCTTTTAAATGATCTGATGATTTTTCCGCTTAATTTAAATAACAAAAAAGGGACTAATAAATGAGAACGGCCAATAAATAGCTTAAATGTAATGGATGGTCCAGCAATAATAATAAAAAAATAACCAAAATATACTTTACATGTTTTTTTGTAAAGTTTGTGTATATAAATATATATAATTTGTTTTTTAAAGCTTTTTCTCTAATAAAGTACATTCAGTTACGTTTTTGTCTTCCTACTTGCTGAAGTAGCTGAAGTCTTTCATTAGGACCTGACAAAAACACCAACATCAGTTCAGCAGCAGCTAGTGCTCAGAGTTTCCTTAGGTAAGGCATCAGGTGTAACACTGGTTAAACTGGTTAACCACTGATCAAGTTAAGGTTAGAGTCAGGGGGAGTTGTAGTCATAAATGAATGAACTTAAAATATAATAAAATAAACCTAATAAAAAATAATTAATTGTTTTGAAAATAAGCAGATTTATATAAGGATAAAGCTTTAAGTAGGAACAGAAATGTGTGTTGATTCAACACAACTCGTTTTAAGTTGGAAGCTAAACCAAAATTAACGATTTTAAATAGTTATATAGCAAAGAAATCAAAGGAACACTATATCAATGTGGCAGTCGTTTTAATTAGAATCAATTTTAATAAATAATTGTGCGTTAACATTCTATTGTCTGAAAAAAGTCAATAATACTTGGTAAAACCGGTTTTCCATTTAAATCAAAGATTTAATTTCCCTTACATGCTCATTTAGTGTACTCGCCCCCTGGAGACGAAAAATTAGAACGCATTTCGTTTAAACACTCGCTTCGTAGTTAAAAATAGTTTCTCAGCAAACTTACTAAAACGTTGATACATGTAGAAACGTTGCATTAATTTGCATCGTTATTTAATATGTTTAAATTGGTTTAGTATTTCACTCAATCGAACTATTTCATGAAAATTGCACTTAGGCGGATGGTTACAGTTTTAGGCCTCCCGTAGCAAAGTGATGTTCGGTTTTGCTCCGCCAACAAGCATTTACTAGTGATGGGAAGACCGACTCTTTTTACTGATTCTAATATTTGACTCTCGAACAGTAAAATGAACCAGTCTTGAACTAATCATTTCATTCGTTTTACGCTACAGCGTCGTTTTATGACGCTACACAGTTTTGACATTTTATTATGTAAAAATCGCCAAAATTCGAGTAATCAAATACAGAGCAGAAATCCCAGGTGTGGGAGCGACGAGCTGTGCCTCACTGCGCGATCCAATCAAACTGGGTCACATGACGCGGGCCCGTTTCTGTTCCAGCCAATGAAGTGCAGAGAAAAGTAAGCGGGGAGACCAACGCTGGAGCTAAAAGGTTAGCTTCAAACTACGGGACAGAAAAGTCGTTCTTTTTAAATTTACTGGTACAAACAAAAACACTGGCTGTGTGGCTGTCCCGTAAGGAACAGCCATTACTGCTTTCTTGTCTTTTATTCTCATCGTGTGACAACGTCTGGACTAACTACTGTGACACGACACATTTGAAAAGAAGGCTCGGCAGACATGAAACATCAGCCACGAACATTCAAAGACAGATTTCTTAAAATAATTCTGGAAATTCAAGGATCGATTTGTCATTGGATGAGCAACGGAGACTAAACATTAGCATCCACAATGCTAAGGTGAGGAAAAGCCGAGAGCTACAACCATGGACTTTACTACGAGTAAAGGTAAGGCTAAAATGCTTTTTGTTTTTTCAAAATAAGATGGGGATAAGTAGAAAAAAGTAATTTTAAAAAGTATTTGATAACTATATTTTTGGCCTAATATATATATCTATATATATTGATTAAAGCATCTGAATTTAGTCTCTTTTTTCTACTGAAGGTCAAAGTAAATTTTAAAATCTCTATACTTTAATTTGTTTACAATAAATCTGAATTTCTTAGACACAAGAAGGGTGCTATGTCCAACTATATAAAGAAACGTTATTTGTAGGACATGTATGTTCCTGTGTATGTGTTTGTGTAAATGTCATTGAAAGAGGAATGCTGATGGGATATGAAGTATTACCAGGTGATTGCTGTTGATGCTCTTTTTGGTTCTTACAATTGTAAATCTAACTCCAGAGGAGTCAGCCACTACATGTCACTGCTCTCTCTCTATATAGCTAATGTATTGGTCACGTGGGGGTTAAGCTATAATGTATTCACAGGAAAATCCAGGGAAGGCCCGAATCTTCTCCATTAGCGTCATCGGACGGGCACTATACTTGTTGGCGGAGCAAAACCGAACATCACTTCGCTACGGGAGGCCAAAAATTGTAACCATCCGCCAAGACGGCCTAATGAAATTTTCACAAAATAGTTCGTTTTGGTGAAATACTAAACCAATTTAAACATTTTAAATAACGATATAAATTAATGCAACTTTTCTATGTATCAACGTTTTAGTAAGTTTGCTGAGAAACTATTTTCAACTACGAAGCAAGTGTTTAAACAAAGTGTGTTCCTGTTTTTTTTTTTTTTTTTTGGTACATGAATTGAGCATTGAAGGGAAATTAAATCCTTGATAAAACAGTGCAATATAGTTATGTATTAAACTTATACCATTTATTATGTAGTTTCTATATGTATATAATGATATTATAAGTGTATATATCTTAAAAATCTACGTTTGTGTCGATGCACAAGCTTAATGCTAAAACATTGCGGTATAGTTATTAACAGTACTTTGTTTTTATATTTAGTAGGTGTTGTATTATTTATTTATTATCATTTTTGTATTTGTCCCATTTAAAAAAAAAATTGTTTACTTTGTAACATTCCCATAGTTTCCTTAATACATGATTGTAAAATAACACACCTTATGAGAATGTGCATTATTTTCACCTATGTGCCAGTTTGGCAGTTAGACTTTTGCTGACACCAGTAAAACAGGGAACCTGTGGCAGCGTTCCTTCTCCTCCCCCTCTCTTCCTCCATCTCATACTGTTATCTGGCCTGTACATGAACCCTCCTCACCTCCTAACCCCAGAGGAGCAGCATGCTTGACTGTGTTAGTGTGTGTGTGTTTCTCTTTGCTATCACACACAAACACATCAGACAATGTGTAATGCACAAATTAAAGAAAGACACGAGTCAGAAATAAAGGGACGGGAGGCAGGAAGAAGGGGTACTTTTCTTCCAAGAAAAACATAAGGAACAAATAAGAGTTTTTTACAAAAAAAGTGCAGTAAAACCTCAAAGTAACTGAACTTTATTGCTGGTTCTCTGTGGAAAGAAATGTGACATTAACATTACAATAATGGTTAGGAATGAACTTCTAGTTTGATCAAATAAAAATATATTACAAATATTGTTAATTAGACAAATAATATAATATAATGAGAAAAACAGGTCTGAATACAGGGAATCATGGAGGTTAAAAATATTCACTCCAGATCATTTCTGGAATATTTTCCATCAAGACATTCAAACCTGCTAGAGTTAAAATTGCTTGTGTTGTCCTGCCTGTTTACAGTCAACAACTTAACCAGAAATGGTTGCTGCTTCCTGATAATTTAAATAAATTCAAGGACAATATGTCTTGAATTTACCTTCTATATTGTGAATAGTTTTTTTTCTTTTTTACCTTCTTTTAACAGTAAATACTGTAATATAAACAAAGGCAGATTCTGTGGATTGCTGTTGAACTGGGCCTAAATTAAATTGTAAATTTAATATGCGCAACAACACAAATTACTGGGGCAATAATGGGCAATTAATGTAAGTGTTAATGTGTCCTGGTCTGGTCAAAGATTCTCTTAAAACTTTTGACTCTTCTCTTAAAACTTTAGACAAAGTATTGAAAATGTCAATAGTTTTATAAATAAAACAATACTTTCACATTTGTGGTGGTCACCAGACAAGAACATATAACGCCGTGGGTTTGCAGTCAGAAGATCTGAGGCCCGTCGGCATGGATCACAGCACCTTTGGCGTCTCCTGTGTTCACCCTCTGCTCTTTTAAAAGCTCCTCACATGTGTGAAGGGCGTAAAATCACTTCCTGGGTTGGATTGCCTCTGACCCTGTCATCTTGATGGGAGGTGGGACGAAAGGCCGGCACTCGCATTAGGGCTAAAAGGTGACCGCTGTCTCATCGAGACAGATACCAACAGATGAGAGGAGGAGGAGGAGCAGAGGATGAAGATGGTTGATGGAGCCAGCTGGAAAACCAGTCAGAGCAGATGAGGAGTTAAGAGGGAGAAGAGAAAATATTTAAATCATGCTGTCAAAAACTGGTCAACAAAGACATGTACAATGGAGGACTAGTGATGGACGTTGGCGGAAGATAAACGATAGAGACGCTTGTTTTAAGTTTGATTCCTAGTTATTTGTCACATAAATTATCACTGAAATAACCATAGTGATTACTGAAATTAAAAACAATGAGAACAGCGACTTTAACTCACAAGTGTCACACACACACACACACACACACACACACCTTTGCACTGTGACCTGTAGTCAACCTCTGTCCTGCTAACCTGTATTTATTGGCCATTAAAGGCCAATAGTTCAGTCAAAGTGTGACAAGTCTGATTTATAGGCAGATTCATCACAACATCTTAGTGCACTGACTACGCTGCTGCTGCTGCTGCTGCTGCTGCTGCTGCAGCAGCAACACCAGGCCTGTGCAGAGAGACGACAGATAGATGGACAGATGACAGACAGGTAAACAGACACTGATCTCATTTGAACAACGGATGAGGATGAGGTTTTCAAATGCAGTTAATAAACGAATGTTTTCCTGCTAATAAAAAATGGAAATAATAATAATTTAAAAAAAACAGTGTCTGTTGTTAATTAAATGTTTAATTCATTATGGTTTACTGGCTAACTTACAGCTCAGCTGCACAGAACAGGACCTGCTGTTAGCTGTACACCTTTATTAAACACAGACACACATTACGTGGTCATTAAAGAGGCATATGGGAATCCTACATCCACATGCATGCCATTCTCGTTCTCTTTGTGTGTGTGTGTGTGTGTGTGTGTGCGTGTGACTTTTTCATGACCACGGTCAGGCAGAGTTCAGCAGCAGTTCATCTAGGGTAATGCAGGGAAACACCCTGCCTCCCCCGTCACACACAAACTGGAAACAGAAATATTAGTGCGTCCTATTGTCTTTGAGGTCAACGCTACCTTGTGAAGTTTACTGTTGTGTGTTCAGCAGTATTATTGCTGTTGATGGTGGTGGTGTGTCAGCCTGTTGTCACAGGCGTCTGTAATGGTGTGTGTACGGCTGATTTGTTCCTCTTCTTAACTAGGTTTTAAGACATTTTTAGAATTATTAAAGCTGTTTTCTTTTGCTAACCTTTAGCCTCTACTGGTGGCTTATTATTTTGCTATAGTTTGGCAATTTATTGTAGCTAACCTTCATTCTCCAGGGGTGTCACTTTTGTTTACTTTACTACATTAATAGCTAACTCTTAGCTATTAATGTATATATTTGTTTCTGGGCTAACTAGTATTTTCTGGTAACATTTTGAGTGATAATTATGACTCATAATTAGCTACCATGGGGATGACTAAATTATACTCAGATGTAATTAATAAATTATGTTTAGTTTGTGTCAATCACACAATCTTTTGCTATATTTCTAGCTTCCTACATCTTTCTATTCTTGTATTGTTTAGCAATTGTTCAGTTATTTCAGTGGTAACCTCACCTGTTCAAGGTAACTGTTAATACATTATTTCAGAACAACCTTGTAGCTCTTGTTTTTTCCTGTTTTGATCTCATGTATATCACATCTACAACACTGACCTGGTGAGAGCTGTGTACATTACAAAAGCCAACCTTGTTTAGAAAAGCCTAACTGTATACCTTGCAGAAGTAATGGCGCCCCCACCATCACACTCTGATTGGGAGTGTGTCGTCACATTATCCTGGGCTCTCCAGCATTTGCAGTACAAGCTGATGGAGAGGAAGAAAATAGAGTTTCAGTTACAGTCATTGTTGTGTTCCCAGAATTTCAGAGCTGAAAAGTCCACTGCATTTCCTGTCATCCACAGTTTCCTTCTCAACATTGTTGAAGCGTTCAAACAAAAACATTAGGCATGCACGCGTGTGTCAGCGCTTCTACAGGAGCCCATTGAGATTATGTAACATTTGAACTTGAGTCACCTCCTCCACAGTCAAACAGAGTTCACCAGATGTTGCTGCCGCGGCCTTAGCGACAGTTTTGCCAGTAACCTGCCCCCTCATCGCCTCTCCTCCTCCTCCTCCTCCTCCTCCCTCTCTCCACCCTCCTTTTCCTATTCTTCTTCTCTCCTTCACTGTAATCAACACCTCTTTAACTTGTCCCTGACCCATCAGTGCACTCACACAGAGGGACAACACCTCCTGGCTTTCCATGCTTCACCTATATGTTGGAGGAAACAGGTTATTGTTTGATGTGACATGAAACTATATGTACGTCAAAGGTAAATAATAGAATAAATCTGGGTCATTTTACCTCCTTCATATTTATCTGATGAGTGACAGAGAATAAGCAGTATTAAAAAAACACACACACACAACAACTTGACTGAATCAACAACAAATGCCAGTGGTGTCAAAGGCCCAGGTACCAAACTGTGTACCTCACACTAACACATCGTGAATATCGTGTTGATCAGCAGCAGTGATGACATTTTACAAGAATTCATGAACTACAAAAAAAGTTCCAGGAAGCTAGTCAGTCCAAAATCTGGAACCAGTAGAAGTTTGTCACGTACAGTAAACAGGACTGAACTCACATTTCTCCTTCCAAACAACAGTGTTAACAAGAACTAGATGAATAGCTGCTAAGCTATGCAGAAACACACTAACCACCATAACATCTTTCAACAGCTTAGTAATTATCTCTCAGTGAGCCTTGACTCAGTAACTTCCTGTGACAAAGTCTGGTTCTGAGTCTGACCATGACTCAGACTGCTAGGTTAATATAATCCATCATGTGTCCTGTAAAACCTGAATGGAAACCTGTAGTGTATAATGTACTTCTCTACATAATAATTATTTAGAAACACACACACACATACACACCCAAAGAGAAAGAAACACCTACGCTCTCCCTCTAACACCTGTCCTTCCTGGATTCTCTGCCAGCTGGAGTCAGATTCCTGCAGAATGTTCCGGTAAAATGTGGTGAAGCGTAAAACCGGCAGTCTGTTCTATGGATGCCAGCCCAGCACTGCAGGTGTCGGAGGGGACTCTCTTCCTCTGTGGGTCTAAACGTACAATAAGTAGAGTTGCTTCGTTTAATTTCTGACCATTTTTAATTTTTTAAAAATTCTAAAGCCTTCAATTCTGCAAAAAACAGTAATGAATTCCATTATTTGGACGGTCCTATATCAAGACCAGGACCTGAAGTGTATTAAATCTCTGAAGAACGCCCACTTTTTCCGTCCATAACTGTCTACGTTCATTAGCTTGTTTTATCACGCTCACTCCAAATTATTTTACAATCTTCAATTACGGTAATTCAGCAGCACATGTTCGTCACACACCCCTCACTCACACCTGTACTGCATTTGCTCTTTCTCTTTCTCTCTCTCTCTCTCACACACACACACACAGCCTCTCGTTCAAGTGTAGGAGCAGAGAGGGTCGTTCAGGGGACAGAAACACACAGGCAGCCTCGTCTGCCCTCCACTTAAACCCTCATACACACACACACACACACACTTCTCCTCTCTTTCCCCTCTGCCCTCAACTTAAACCCTCACCCCAATCTTACCCCAGCCCTTTCCACGTAGTTATAACCCCCACCCAACAGCCAATGCCCACTGCCCTGTTAACCTTGTTACCTCTCTCACCCTTCTTCTGTCATATCTACCCCCCACCTCTCTCTCTCACACACACACACTGGCTTAGTTTATTTCCTAGATGGTATCAGACAGGGATAACAACTCTTTTCCCCCTAATCTTCCAGGTAGTTTTTTACTGGAGTTAAAAATAGACAGGATCAGAGTCCTTAACTTAACTTACATTTAATATGACTGGACACTTGGTGTGTTTGACCCTGGATTGTTCAATAGGAGCTGGTCCCATGCTTAATTTTTCAACCTGTAACTAGCTCTATTCATTTCTTAAACAAAATCTATAGGGGGCCAATGTGACTGAGGCAATACAGACAAGAAGACAAATACAGCAGACTTCCAACCATGATGTAAAGTGGAGTAGACTGAATTAACTCTGGGCGATGACATTCAGTGAAGGCCATGTTAGTGAAGGAGATGTTAGATGATCATAAACAGCACTGTCATGGAAACTGGACTGTTCTGTGCATCTGTTAAATCTGTCGGACTTAGCGTTCATGGGAATATAATCACTAAATATTAGTTTCTTCAACTCTCGATGATCATCTCGCTTCCCTGTTGCAGGGTTTTGTGTACAGACTTTGTTCATATTGCGCAGAAACCTGAAGAACAGTCCATTCATGGAGCACAATATCTGAAAGCACAGTTCAGATTTTGACTGACGTAAACATACCTGGTGCTTCTCATGAGCAGAGGTGTACAGTGGCAGTCGATGACCTGCGTTGTTTCTTGTTGAAATGTCAAAGTGAGCAGAATAGACCAACAGGCAAAGACCCAGGTCAGGACTCAGCCCCGGAGACCTGCAGTGAGAGACAAGCACCTGTGGTTCACTTTTACTAGGAGCAAACCTCCTAGCAAATGGAGCTATGCTGAGCACACACGTGCACACTCACACGTGCACACAGCACGTTCTCAGTGAGTTCACGGTGGTGATGACACAGCAGGAGGTTGCACCTCCACACACAGTGATCTGATGGAAGAATCAGGGAGGCACCAGCATGCATCTGTCCACTGTTGAACTCTGAGCTGCAGGAGTTTCAAATGGCCCACATTTTTTTAAGAAGCAAAGATGATTTTTTAGTGGTGCCCTTCACCTTTTGTTTTAGATTTTAAAGACCTAAAAAGATGTGGTAAAATGGTACATCAGCAAATTTGTCTTTAGAAGCGTAGCACAAAGTTTTTAAAACCTTGGCACAGGAGACAGCATAGTTACTGCAACAAGTTGGTCAAATATTTCAGGAGCAGCTGTTATAAAATCAGCACTTTTTTATACAAATTCTCCACATAAAACCTTTTTAAGGATCTATAAAGTTTTTGCTTGCAATGGATATCATTGTCCACTTCAATGATTAAAATTGTATTCTACTGTTAATGCATGTGTAATGGAGATCCAAACATAAAGGGTTCTGTTTTCACAGGCTCCACTTTCCCCAAATCCATTGTTTCATTGTTCAAAAGTATTCCTTCATATTTCCCAAAAACATAAAAAATAAGAAGTTTTCAAAATAACAGTGAGTTCACTAACCAATCAAAGGTATATGCTGCACCATGTACGTTCATTCCTGGATATTTCCTCTATTTGCTAACACCGTACAACAACTGAGTCAGTCAACATCCCAAACAGTCGCAGTAAATCCACTTGGTTTGTTGTTTGTAAACTGCAATGGAAAACATACAATTAGTGAAACCGTCCCAAGTTCTTGGCACTAGTCCCTACAGCAGTCAACAGTCTACAATGATCACTGATCACATGGGAAATTAAAAGCAGGATTAAAAGAAGAATACTGCTTCTGTCATATTGGCTCATGCTGGGCCGAGGTGTGGGCTCCTGTCCACAGTTTAAATTGTATGCTCTCAGCAACAACCAGCAAAAGCGTCTGATAATTGGCCCCCATACTGCACATCGGATTCACCAGTATCTGCTGCTGCTGCCTCTGGAGACTGTGTCCTGGAAGTAAAGGGTTTATTCTGAGAGTGTGTCTTAATTAACATCCTCTAGTGGCCTTTTTCTGCATTTCAATGTGCACTAAGTAAATTGAGCTGATCTACAGGGACTGTAACTCCCTCTACCAACAAACAATCTCATTAGTTTTTTTATTTTAGCTGAGGAAATGCATTGTCTTAAACATAAATGAGGCCAACACTATTCTACATTCATTTAAAACTCTGATTAAAATCATTTTCCTCTGGCCAAAACTCAATAACAATATAAAGATGGATGGATCAATATGTTGGCGAGTAGGTAGTTTATTGGAAAGAATGTATAGTTCAACATTGAATATCCATTTGATGATGTCATTGTTATGCTTTACAACATCAACCTTTAAGGTCTCAGACTGGGGTGCCCATGATGTGGGTTTAAATCCTTGTCCTTCTTTTACGACCTTTTGAATTTTCTTGTGTAGGAAAACTAAAATAATACTTCAGTAGAGCATTGCAAATACAGCTGATGTTATATTTTTGTATTTAAAAATTCTTTCTAGAGGGACTACTAGCCAGGCTAACAGGCTAAGCAGCAATGCTTGGATTTGAAACCACACTCCAGGTTCCATTGTCTGCGTCTCCGGCCTGTCTGTTCACTTGATTATTGTGATCACACTCACCTGTGTCTCTGTCGTTAGCCTTGCTCATGTTATTCTCACACCTGGCACTTTTACCATAGCCCTTTGAGATTCACATCTGAAACATAGTCCATATCATGTAGTGAGAGAAGGTAAACTCTAACTGCAATTTATGTGAAAGCTTTTGTGGAAATTGAGGTTTTTGTTATCTTAAAGGTTTTTCAAATTCCATTCAGATAAGTTGTTCTCTTGCTCTTTTAAAAAACACTCTAATTGTAGAAGAGTCAGTAGGTGTGAAGTGTTGTTGTTTTTAAAAGCTATTGTAAGTAAGTACAGAAGTCATCAACATCACATCAGTTTTTTGTAGCAAAGTAAATATATAATGTGTGTATATATATATATNGTATATATAATCTTATAATCTTATTTATTTTTTAATTTAACTTTATTCTGCTACAGTCTACCATTGGTTGATTAGTGAGGGTGGAGCCAGGGGAGGGGCCAAGGGTGGAGCAGAGTATAACAATTGTTGCCCACATGCTGGGTTCATACCGAAACTCATATGTCATCAAAGGTCAATGTTGTAAGGCATAAGAAGTTCAAACAGTTTGCAGTGCCTGGATTTGAACCCTTGCTTTAGGGTCCATTGCCTGTGTGACTCCCACTGCACCGGACAGGGACATAGTTGGACTTAGTTTTGGCAGAACGTATATTTGTCATGCAGGGTAGATGTTGTAACGCACCCCTACACCACACCAGGTCCCTCCCTCAACAGCCACCACTAACATCCACACCTTCCAATTTGCATTGACATTTGAACTTTCTTATGCAGGACTTGGAAAGCTGCAGTAGTACTTCTGCTACAGCTAATGTTATAGTTTTGTAATTGAAAAATCCTTCTAGTTGGTGACAGAGTGACTCCGCGCCCGGTACAGGGCTTCAACTTCAACATAGTCCAATGCCTGGATTTGAAACCCAGTCCAGGTTCAGTTGTCAGCATCTCCTGCCTCTCTGTTCAGTTGGATAGTGTGATCACATTCACCTGTGTCTCTGTCGTTAGCCACACACACACACACCCACACCCTACAACCACATCGCCCCTCCCCATAATGCAAGGTAAAGCAGGTGGTTTCACAACAAGTATAAGAATGTAAGTGCTGAGTTCTGAACAATCAGTTTCTTAACAGAAAGTTGAGTTCCACGCTCACTGGAACTGCTCAGTACCAGACTGATGTCATGCTGATCAAAACCCCTGTCCACAGGACCTGTATCTATGGTCAGGTGAAGTCAATGACAGGATGTATTCATTGAGCCTCCTCTGGAGACCACAGTCCAGGACTAGTCTCTGCCCTGAGCCTCAGACAGGGAGGGGCAGCAGGAAGCTGCCTGCTGTCCCCACACACGATTTATGACATGTCCTCTCACTTTGAAGAACAGTGTGTGTTTGTACACACTGACTGCTGCTGCTGCTGCAACCTGTCTGTCACTCACTCACACGTAGCAAAAGAAAAGTGTAGGAGAGCAAGATCATAAATGTCCATTTGTTTCCAAACAATAAAAAAGTGATTATAAACACATTACATTCAACTTCATTTTACACTGTATTTCAGTGAGACAGTCAGGCGTTTGTATAGTTATAAACACTGACGTTTAAAGGCAATTTATAAAACTTGAAATTTATATCTGTGACAGTGGGTGGAGTTACATTACTACTGACCTGTAGCTGAACCCTGAAGACTTCATCTACTTGTACTCTGTATACGTGCGCCCACACACACCTGAGTTGTTGTGGTTTGAAAACCAACGGTCTGCAAACAATGAATCCAGTTAAAAAGCCATTAATGCTCAGAGGGAGCCAAAGAGGTCAAGGAGGACAGAGGAATACGAGATAAAGAGAGCTGGAGGAAAAGAAAGAGAGAAAGAAAAAACAGAAAGAAGGAAAGAGATACAAATGATAAGAAGAAACGAAAGAGTAAGCATCAGAGACAGCAACAGACAAAAGTGGGAGGGAGCGGAGGGAGAGAGTGACCTTTGTCTGAACTCAGTGGTGAACTTCTGCCTCAGTGTACTCCAGTTAACCTGTGTCTGTGCTCTCTCTCTCTCTCTCTCTCTCTCTCTCTCTCTCTCTCTAACACACACGGGTAAGAGGTGCATTTTCAGTTTATATAATGGATAATACGTGTGTTTCCAGTTTAGCTTTGGAACTATGAATGGGAGCTGATCCCAGCATTACTCATTACTCTCTCTCTCTCTCTCTATCTGACTTTTAACCAGCACCAGCACAAAATGCCATCTTGAATTCTGTCAATGCAAATAGGTCACAACAAGGAAAACATGGAATTAGAAGAAAACAGTCAGAAGATGGAAAGTTCTTCGCAAACAAACCTCCAGAGTATACTTTAGCCTCAAAGTTGTCAAGTTAGCAGTACATTCATGTATGTGTTCCTTTGTGGTTTTTGTTAACGTCTCTTCAGTCTGGCCCTGGGTACTGTTTTTACTGTCAGACACTGGCTATGCAGGAATCTTCCTGAGAAAAAGAATCAAAAGATACAACAAAAGATATGTATGTTACTTTTAATGGACCACTAGAAAGTCAATAATGTTTTTAACTGTGGAGACAGTTCCTCCTATGTGTTTTATTCACTTCATTTCTATTTCAAGTGGCTGGAAGTAACTGTATTCAAGTTGTGATTTATAATTTCAAATATGGCCTTAAGTTGTTGCAGTTTATTTGCATTTGTAACGTCTTATAGCTAGGGTCCAGTAGGTAGTCTACAAATCTAGACGCATTAACGCATAACTTGTTCTTGTAGTTACAATCTGAAGTACAAAAGAAACAAATTCATTTCAATAATTGAAACACTGTATTTGACAATAGTTCTTGACTAGCATGTTGAAATTAAAGTCCACATTTATACTATGTTTATAGCGTAACCGTTTTAGCTGCTAAAGAAAAAAAACGGAGTCTAAAAGGATTAAGTAAAAGCGAGTCAGAAAATAATCCCAACAGCTAGTCAAACATTACCATCTAGTGGCAAAGATCTGAAAGTACAACTGGAATTAAAACGCGCCAATTAAAGACAAAATTAGATTACTTACATTTACTTGGATGTTTCCATAAAGGTAATTTTAACGCAATAAGTATTTTATAAACCAGCGGCGAAGAAAATAAGAAATAAATTAACTAGGACCATTTCCGAGTAACTCGATAAATCGACCTCTGGTGTTTAATTGTAATTTAATCTCTTTTCTATCGAGATATAAATACTAAGAGTCTTTCCTACGTCTACAAAAGTCCGTTGACGTGATTAATGTTTTGCAGTGACTAGGGACGGATACAAAAAGGTCAATAAATAGATTTACCTTATTCAGCAGGGAGCGACCAACACTGTCGTGGTCTGGCATTATAACAATAGTTTTTTGTTTTTGTTTTTTAAATAGTAATTTTCCTTCTTCTTCGCAAAGGCAGGGAACGAACACACCGAGTAACAGCATTTTTTAGGCAACCAGCACCCCCCAGCGATAACAATTAGGCATTTCCCGGAAGCGGATACGAAGCTGTGTTATACCGTCGGTGCTGTCGCCTAAGAAACCAGGATTTGTTTTCCCAACCGATTTTAGGCTAAATGCGCTGAAGTATATGGTATGGTGTGGATTCATTTTTAGTCTTAAGTATCATATTAGAGGCAGTCGTCCCTGGGTGTTTTTTTTTTATCTAGAACTAAAAGAAACCCCATGCACAGCGAGGAAGCTATTGAACATAAACATGTTCAATAGCATGACATGAAAAGCACAAGAACAGAGTTTGATAAATCCATTTTAATGGAAAATGTAAAACCCTTTTGAACTTCAATGTACAAAGCATGTAACACTTGCACTTTAAAATTTGAAATTGAAGCAAGCCATGTTTTTAAAAAAATACTTCAGTGAAAGTATATATTTACACATTACAGTTAACTTTGTCATTATTTTATCTTTTCTTACTTCAAAGGTTCAACATAGTAAATTTTAACAAAACAAACAAAACAAGACAATTAATTTCTTAAATAAATTACATCTTTTTTCTTGTAAATGTCTCCATTTTACAGAGAATACTTTTTCATAAAATGCTGTGTATAAGCCATTTTTGTGTGTTTTTCTTTACATAATACAACTTTACAGTCTTTACAATAGTTTGGCAGTTCTTATTTAAAAATGTTTTTATGGCAAGAGGACTGCAGAGTATTGACATTTCCTAAAGTTACAGGCATTAGCTGGCGTGAGTGTGTGTGTGTGAGAGTGTGTCCTCCATCACAGTAGAGCCGTATCACAACTGAAAACAACATATAAAAAAAACATCAACAAAGGAACTGTACAGTCACATTTACATGAATGCTTTTGCCTCAATAACACTGCATCATCACAGAGCTATAAAATAAATACATCTGAAATAAAACAAACCTCGGTACGAAAATGAAAAAAAAAATTAAGAGCTGAACAGCAACAGATGGACAGAAGTAGAAAAAAAGGACAAGAACAGACACAGAGTTACAGAAGAGACAACAGAGAGGGAGCAGCACAGATTTCTACTGCTGCTGCTGAGTGAAATATCTGAGATTTTTCTTTTCTTTTTTGTTTCCCCCTCAAATCCTTATTTATTTATTTATTTATTTTTAAATTTAACATCAGAGATGACAGTTTTGATCCTGATGCTGCTGGTGATGTCATCTGTCCAAGACAGGAGTTAAATCTCCTGGGTTTTTTGATGGGCGGCAGATTGCAGAGAGAGGGCAGAAGGTGGCGCTGTGTGTCTGGGACAGTGTCTCAGCTGGACACACTGAGCTCAGTGATGTAAGCGCGGAGGTTTGTAGTTCAGCGTTGAGGTTCTCACACCATCTGATCTTCTGTCCATCTCCTCTTGGCACTCGAGGTTTGGGCTCATTACGGTGGTGTTGACGGAGGTGGACGCTCATCTCACCAGCCACCACGACATGTGTATAAGGTCGAGCTCACATGACCAGCTTTGACCTCAAACACCTTCTGTGGTCCTCCATGAGATGTGGAGGTTGTGTGGTAAGGAGGAGCTGAGGGGAGACGTATTGTCTCTCTCTTTCTCTCTCTCGCTCTCCAGAAGTTGTGGACGAGAGCAAAAAGAGAGGTGGATGTCATGAGTTCTCCTCCTCCTCGCCCTCCTCAGAGCTGCTCCTCTTTAGTGAGCTCACCACCTCTTTCACACAGTGGAACAAGATGTTCTTCACCTGAGGAGAAAGAGCAGGGGTCAGGTTTACGTCCGTGCCCAGAATTCACAACAGTGACAGCCTGTTCTGTAAGTAAAGTCAAATTAAAGCCAGTATTTAAACAAAGCAACTTCTTCCTACATCATTCAAAACAACAATTAATATTAATCTGGACACAGGTTTCAGTTTGGCTGGTTCCTATACTAATTTTCTGGACAGACAAGGACTGTTCTTATGTCACTACAGTAAACTGACAAAGAGCAGCACTAACAGTGTATTGAACTAAACTGTCCAGTTAAAATGCAGAAACAAGAGCTGTTCAACAATTATCCTAAAACCACACCGAGATGAACTCTTCTCCACATCCTTATCCTCCTCCTCAGCATCCTGTCACTGAGAGCACAGACAGGAGATGGATGGTGACTCATCCCACTTACAGCCCTCGGTGTGGAGGAAGAGAGTGTGTTTTCAGAGCTAAAACACTGCACGGCCAAAAGACAAGACATCAATGGCAATGACTCACACCGCCTTTTAAACTGTCCTCATTTTATACACATATGCACGTCCTTCATCGAAGGGAAAAAAAAAAGAAAATAAAGCATAAAGGTGGGAGGAAGGACAGAGAGCGAGAGAGAGACTGTAGAGATAACTTAAGAACACACAAATGATATTCATGTGTAAAAATTAACAAAATAATAAAACCATGTTGAATGAATTAACATTAATAGTTTATTCACAGGCAGATGGCTGGGCTACCGTCTCTCTCACCTGTAGTTTATCCTCGTAGTTAACCTCCTCTTTACCGGGCCGCAGCTCCTGGGTCAACTGGAAGGACTTGGCCACGTGTTCAGGAGACACAAAGTCATTGATGACCTGAACACAGCTGTGAAGGTTCTGGACCTGAGAAAACAATATTAAAACAGAAGTGAGTGCAACAGCGACATTAATAGAAGAAGAATCTATAAAACCAAATTTGAGCTTTTTAAAAACACTTAAAATGTGTTTAAATTTTTAAGATTATGTCCTGGTTAACCAGTTAGTAAATACTAGTAAATAGTTTTAATTTAACAATCAGCTTTTCGGCTGTAATATACCTGGTGCATAGCACCAGCTGGTATGAGGACAGAGTCTCCGAGGAACTGAACCACAGTCCAGCCCTGAACTCCATGTTCGTCCAGCAATCGCTGACGTTGCTTCCTGCTCAAATACCAGCCCTGCTCTCTGACTGGGTCTTGGTCCAGGGACATGTCCAATCCCTGCTCCTTACAGAGCTGCAGTAGGCGAACAGAGAAGTATAGGAGGTGTAAATTCTGACATATTTGTGGTAAGGTTTACTGCAGTGTTATTGGGAGCTACAGAATGTCATGAAAGTTCTCTTTACCTTGTACAGGAACTCACGGACTTTGTCCATGTCCTTGTTGAGGTAGATGTGCCACAGTGCCCCTGGTGTCTCACTGGAGTCTTTCAGCCTCCTGCGAACTCCCTCATCCAGATCCTCCTCCTCTAGACGCTTCAACACTCCTGAAACATATTTTTTGGTAATTTATGCTTAAATATTCAGGCCATAAGTCTAAAATCATATTTTTTTGTAACTCCTACAGACATATACATTCTTCAATGTGCCAGTGGATACATTATTTACACAAACCAAAAAAATAGTTACAACAGATTTGAATAGAGGTTTTGAAGAATCCTATCAGAAATCAGCTGCAACATCTTTATTTTTTCTTAAGTGGTTTTCACTCTCACCAGTTTTGGACAGCACTCCGTTGCCTTTAGCTACTCCTACATAGACCAGAACAGACACAACATCTGAAACTTCCGCGTGGAGGTTGGCCGTCCCAAAGTCCTGGTCCTGAGATGCTGCCACACCTGGTGGACAGTAGAAAAAGTTGTACATTAGATTCAAAAAGGTTTTGAAAAAAGATATTTTCTTAGTTATTTTCATAAATTTAGCTGTTACTCATCTATGTCCTACCATAAGCACAGCACAGTCTCGGCCCAAGATCTGGTCTGACAAAGAAGGAGGGCAGGTGTGAGGCCAGGTTGAGGTTTCCCTCTGGGTCAGAGTATTCTGGCAGCGGCAGGTTCTTCATCAAGTCGTCATACCTGTAAAAAAAAAATCCATTTAGATCCATATAACACTTGAATTGTTAGAATTATGCAGATAAAGTTGATGCAGACAGTTGTTACCTTGAGGGCATGAGTGCCATGAACTCCTCTCCAGACGGCCAGTCCTTCAGTCTGTAAACCATCGGTTCTCCATCCTTGGATTTTGGACGTTCTAAAAATAGTAAAAAACACGTTAACGTTACTCAGTAGTGGGTTGTGATGGTAAGTCAGTTTTTGTAAAGGACTTACTGTTGATGTCCTCAAATCCGTCCCAGAATTCCTTGATGCCAGAGTTGGTGACCACCTGGTCTTTGCAATTGAGGAGATCTCCCTGATGGTCAGCAAACTCCTGGTTGAAGGATTCGGCTTTCCACAGACTGGCGTTTAGTCTCTTGTGAATTCCTGACACCAACACAGGCTGAACAACAGAGACATTCATTAAAAAGACTCTTATTACCTGTAGTCGTTTCCTGTTTACACGTGTCAGTGATAACATGATCGCTGTTAGTGATGCAGTTACCTGTCCTTGTTTCCAACAGTCCCTGAACAGCTTCCAGTTGTTCTGGCTGCGATGATCCTTGAGCCACAGTAGGCGCCTGTTGTATAACCAGCAGTGGGGAATGTCTGGATGCTGATTGGTTGATTCATCTGGCACAGATGCAGGAACAGGCACAGGTTTCTTCCTGTCTGGTTTGGTTTCCTCCATTACAGCCGGTGTGCTGGTGTTGTTGACAATGTTATTGATGCTGCTGCCGGTGGTAAGTGGCTCCTGCTTGATTGACAGCTTGGCAGTGATGTTCTGGCGACTGGCAGGGATTTTGTTCTCCACCACGGAAGCGATGATGTCATCCAGAATATTGGGCATCCTTCCGCTCTTTCCAGTCTTTAGGAAAAAACAAGGGGAAAAAAAGTCTTTTTTTGCATTTGATTGTTGATATTTTAAATGATTCAATAACAGTGGTGAGACTTGTTCTGGTACCTGTGAAGCAGTAGAGTAAACTGGTGCAAATGCGATTCCTGCATCGGTGGAGCCCAGCTTCAGTTTTCCCGCTGTGGTGGTGAGCAGATCTCTGAGCGTGGAACCCTGCTCTGAATTGTTGGTGACCAGTGATGTGGTTTTGCACTGCTGCAGCACTTCCAGGCTCTCTCCCTCTTTTTCCTCCTTCACCATTTTACCCAGCAACACTGACCCCTTATTTTCTATTGTGTATGACAGACAGAAGTGAGTCGCTGTAGTTTTTGGGATAAAATGACATTGTATAAAAACATTTTAAATGATTTGTACCTTTCTTTTCCTCCCTGGACTTCTGTTCTGCCAGGTCGGCGAGGAAGTGCAGAGGTGACTGGGATTCTGGAGGGGTGACAGGAGCACTGCCGGTGTCGCTGCCTGGACTGCTTCCTCCCATCCCTCCGCCATTTGTTTCCACCTTGGTTACTCCTGTGTCACAATTTTGCTGAGAGCTCGGCTCAGTCTTCAGAGACAGCTTGTTACTGTGGTTCAAAACGTTCTGCAGAACCTGGTTAAATTACAGAACAATTGTGACCCATGTGACCAAATTCTTCTTACATGACATGTAATAACTTGTATATATTTTTGTGTCGCGTTGACTGGTCTTTGTTTTACCTGTGAAACTCCATTTGTGGACTGCAGTTTGTTGAGGAGGTTCTGTTTGTTGGTGCAGGCACAGTGGGATTTGATGTTGTATTTGTCTCTCAGCAAATGCATGGAGGCCACCAATTCAGTCAGCACTGGATTCATATTATCAATAAACAATCAGCTCGTTAGTTTAGAGCTGTTTAGTCCAGAAACACCACAGTCATTTATTCTAGAAAATGCTGTGTGTTCAACAAATTATTAACCAAGAAAAAAATGAAATGTGAGTCTGAAAAAATCCAAAATGCAGCGTACCTGTGCCTGGTATGATCTGTGTGGGCATCAGATGTTTGTGATCATGGGGTTGACCTTTCACACACTTCAACCAGGTGTAAAACTCTTTATCTGTTTGAGTACAAAAAGACAAAAGTTCACTGTGAGACTAAAATACATACACATCTGCAAAATCAAGCATGAAAAATAAAAAAACATTTTGAACAAAAAGTAGTTGTAGAAAGGAAACATAGGTTCGTTGTATTGTGGGGTTGATGGTATTAATACAGCACATCCTTCTACAGATCTTCTCTCCTGAAAGCTGGTCTGGTCTCTCTTTTAGCTCCCAACTATCTAAAAAACCAAAACAGAAACACTCACCTTTAGAGCTCCTCTTCTCCTTGGCCTTGTAGCAGTCGAGGCAGACAACAAAACCACATTTCTGACAGACCCAGTGGATGTTGAAGAGTGTTGCCTCACAGGCGTCGCACATCTCCCTCACCCCTCTCACCGCTCGCTTCCATGCCAGCTTGGCTGTTAAGATACAGACAACAAAAGAATTCAAAGTCACTCCACAGTAATGGGGAGTTGATCCAAATTCAGCTGCTCGTAAGAATGTTTTTCTTACCATCTTTCTTGACCCAGGAAGCTGCGGTGTTTTCAGTCACCACCATCTGACAGAACTTGTCTCCAATGTAGCTGAGGATGTACTTGGCCGTGGTTTGGTCCAGGTGGGTCTCTTCCATGGCCCCAGGGGCCCACAGGGACATAGCCTCATCATCAAACTGGTCTGGATTGGAGAAGCCATCCATCCGGATGACTCCATTCTTACTGTAGGAAAGCCTATTTGGGAGAAGATAGAGTGTGAGCACAGGCTTTTGGACACGTTGAGAAAAAAGACATTATTGTATTTATTTTTCAAGCATCCTGTCACCTTTGTCAGGGTGACTTATTTTGCCCCACTTCAACTTGGTTATACGTTCAGTTATATATATAAAAAGCACAGGCTGTTTTAACTGCAATGAGACCATCTGCCAACTCTATATATAAAATGATGAGTGTGTTCTGTCCTTGGTGTCCACTTCAGGTGAACATTTATGAAGCCCCAGTCGACTGGGTCAGACAGGAGGGAGGTGAAATAAGGTGAGACGGCAAGAATTAGACGAGGGGATGCAAAGAAGGAGGAGGGGCTGAGGGGAGCAGCGAGGGAGAGATTGCAGTAGCTGCAGTTCTGTAGTGAGTCAGTGGGGAAAAGATTATAGAGCAGAAAATCCTCTTTGGCAGATTTACCTTGTTAGACCCCAGACTGCAGCTGCTGCTTATCCAACACAAGTGAATGTCTGTGTGCCCTCAGTTAAGTGTGTGTAGGACAGAGAGAGGGAGAAACAGAAGGAGGCAGGGCGTACGGCACAGGCTGCATGATTAATGATCTACGTGTTGGGGTTGGAGCCAAAAGAATCCTTTCTTCCTCTCCCTTCATTTATCTCTCCATTTTGTGGTTACAATCAAGATATATTTAGACTTAGAAAACAAATGCACCGGCTCTGATTGTATGCTGTGTGGATGGATTTGAGTTGAGCGGTGGCCAAGGGTGAATGTGCTGGATCTTACAACATTTTTAGAAGTATAGGAAACTGTGGTTGCAAAGAATTGCAACACTTTACCTTCTAAAGTAGTAGAAACGACAGAAGACAGGAGAGTGTGCCTGTTCCTCTCCCTTCTTGCTGCGGATGACCCTGCACTCACGACACTTCTGCAGGTTGGGGCCGATTTCTGAACAGGAGTCGTCCTGCAGAAAGGACTCTCCTGTCTGCTTGAGCTTCTTCACCTTCCTCCAGTCCTTCAGCACAGAGCGGGGGATGCCATCTGAGAAGAGAACACATTGTTAATTCATGTACAGCACATGCAGGCTTCATGACATAATCAAACATTTATACCATCTCAGGAATAAACAATACTAAACTATTATTACAGTCAACAACCTGACTAAATCTGGCTAAATCCATTTCTGGCAACAATGCAGCACTGCAGAAGTTCCCACCCACCCACACCAATGTACAACATAAAAAATGGCAAATGGGGCCCAGGAGGTTATTTTTGTAGAAATACTCAATAAGAGAATATGTAGTCCTAAAATATCAAATAAAACAAATTCCAGTCATTTATGTGGATGTATTCATCTGCAGTTATGCTGTCACCTGACTGTGTCACTGCAGTAATTGATAAATAATTGATCCAGAAGATTGCAGTAAAAAAAAAAAAGTAATGGTTTATTTGCCGTCGGGCCAAAGCCTGACAAAACTTACTGCTGCTGGCCAACTTCAGTTTAGTCTTCTCCCGGGCTGATCTGAAGATGCCGTTGGGCTTTAAGTCATCTTCGTCCTTCTCATTGTCCCCTCTCCTCTTAGCCATGTCATTCTGCTTTTTCTTGTAAGTGGGTTTGGGCTGACGCTTGGCCCGGCCTTCCATCTTGCTTTCGCTGCCATCAGAGTCGTCTCCTCCGCTCTCCGAACCTGACTCATACAGCCGTTTGTTCCCTCGCTTTGAAGAAAAGACGGCTTTCCTGTCATCCCCTCCTCCTGCTCCTATCTTATCCTCAAGCTGCCTCTCCTTCTCAGCTTTGCTTCCGATGTCCTTGCTCATTTCCATCTCACTGGAGGTGGAGGCACTGAGATTGACAGTGCAGGGTTTGATCATCTCTGACATGGCCGTAGTGTTGCTAGGGTTACTTTTGCTGGTAGTGGGGCTGGTCAGCTTCTCTGGTTTAGCACTGGGGGGTATGGTCGTGGTGGATGTAATCCTGTCCTCCTCTGAGTGCCGTGTTAACCAGGCTTTCTTCAGTTTGTGGTAGTTACTGGGTTGAGCAGAGGCCGACCCTGAGGGCTGGCTGTTAGGCAGAGGACTGGACTTGCCTGGGGTTGTGCTGCCACTTGTGGAGCTGCTGCTGCCACTGTCAGCGGACGATGATGGGGCTTGGCTCAAGGAGGACGGTGGTGGGGAACTGTGAATGGGAGCTCTGTCCACATTATCCACAGACAGGGGGGAGTTTCCAGTTGTGATAGCTGTGGGAGCAGTGGAGGCGTTGCTTCTGGACTGGGCTGCAGCGAGGGCAGCCTTGTGCTTCTTGAGGTGGACAAAGGAGGAGGATAAAGCTTGACTGGATCCTGAAGCAGAGCTGGGTTGTGGAGTGAGGCTTGGACTTGGTTGGGGAGTCCCTGCTTTGGGAGGAGTAGGGGGAGGTAAAGAACCCCCTGGAGATGTGGTTCGTATGACAAAGCCTTCTTGAGGCTCTCCTAGTGCTGAGTGACCACGAGGGGAAAATGTGTTTCCTAGCTGGTTAGTGGCTGTCCCAGGTTTAGTTTGTATAGCAAAGGCAGGCGAAGCTGAAAGCACCGTCCTGCACACAGAGTTTGCGGCACTGACTCCCATAGTTCCTTGCAGGCCACTCATATAAGTCTTTTTATACTGGACACACATGTCGTCTATGTTCGAGTTTGGCTGGATAACCCTGCCAGCCCCTGCTTCTCTAACACTCTCTCCTAACCTCAGACATTCCCCCTGAAGCTTGGATGAGTAAAACCTCCCCTGGGGCAGGTCCTGATGGATTATAGCACCAGATTTGTTAGCACCAACAGAATTGTCATATTTAATAGACGTCGACGGACGTACGATGACTGATGCCATTGCAGCTTGGGGCTTGCTTCTTGATAGTCCCTTCTCTCCATGGTACAATCCTCTTTCCTGAATCATCTCTCCAGCCCTCCACCCACCTGCAGATGAAGTCATCATTTCCACAGAGGCCACCGAGGTGATCGTGGCTGCATTTCCATGACCTTTGACGTCCCTGAGTTCTGGCAACAGTGTGGGAGGTTTTTGCTGCTCTGCTGATGCTTTGCTACTGGCTGCCACCAAGTTTACAGGCTGTATGGGCGTGAGGGTTGGGGGAGACAGACGACCACCGTATCCCCCTCTTTCCCGCTCCTTCTCCCTTTCCCTCTCTCTCTCCCGCTCAGCGGCCTCTTTTCGTTCCAGCGCGTGCTGTGTGGGAGGGTGGAAGACGGGTGCTCGGTGGAGAGATGGCATTGCCCTGAGCTGCTGCTGCTGCTGTTGGTGGAGGTGGTGATGATGATTGTGGTGGTGGTGGTGGTGGTGGTGGTTTAGAGCTGAAGAGGAAGATGTAGAAGTGGAAGGAGAGATGGCAGGGCTGCGGCGGTCAATCCTGTCCATACCTACATGGTGCTGATGCTGCTGTTGGACTAGTGTCACCTGCTGGCTAAGCTGCTCAGTGATTTTCCCTGCCAAGCCCTCTCCACCCTCTGGCTGGTGCTTTATAAGAGGAGGGGGCTTTGACAGGGAGGCTTTGGAGCTGTGGTTGCCTAAAGACAGAGCTCCCTGGTTGGGCACAGCTGCACCAATACTGGCCACAACCCCTGAAACCTTCTCATAGTATGAGCTCACCTCTTTGGAGGGGTACAGTCTAGGAGGCTCATTTACAACACTGTTGGACAGCGTGGTGAAGTAGTTACTTTTTTCTGACTGGATTACATGGGGGTGTGCATGACTGGCCTTGGGGCTCGGGGAGGTGAGGGCTGGTATTCGCACAGGGAAGACGGGGTCTCTGCTTCTCTCTCTGTCCCTGTCCATGCCTGGGTCACTTGAGCGTTGGATCTTTGCAGTGAAGGGAGCGACTTCGATGCTCTCTTTCAGGATCTGCCGATTCTCCTCTTTGTACTTGCTGGCTCTGTCTACATTTTGAACTGTCTCCTGATTACATGAAGAACACAAAGAGAGTTTAGGTTTTTTTTTACATGAGAAAGGTCCAAATCAAATGTTAAACAATGTCTCTCTTTTTGTACACAAGGAGTAGGATTTATTTCCACTCAATGTTTACATGGACAAAATAAATCAAACATATTTCTGATCAGGGAAAGCCTCATGGTGGAGTCATGCACATCTGGATATACAGCAAAAACTAACAAAAACAAAATAATAAATAGACAGAAGAAAGAAAGAGAGAATATTAAATCAGTGGTGCACACTGAGAGGCCGACCACAGACGCAGTGTTTGTTCCACAGGAATGGAACGAGTGCTCTTTCTGTTCCTTTTCAATTCCAGATAATTAAACAATTCTGCACCAGTCAAAACAATTACACATGCATGCATGTAGCACACATGAATGTTGTTATAATATAATCTAATTAAAAATCTAAGTAAACAGAGAAGACTTTCCATCCAGTGCTATTTAAATGAACACATTTTCCACATCCACACTGACTAAGTATTACAGCGTACCTGTGTGTTTGTCATCCGGGATTTACTCAGTGGATCCAGATAGAGACGGTGAAGATGGATGTCTTTCCCTGTTGGCGTGCGACATCTGTCTGTCTGCTCCTGCTTCAAGTGGGCCAACGTCATATTTCTGATGGGATCCACAAAGCCTTTTTTATCCACATCTCTGCTTCAAAAAGAGTAAACATTAGCAGGTTATTAAGTTTAGCAAGAAACTTACATTAAAATATCTGCCAATTTCCATTATGTCATATAAATTCAATGGAATTGAAAATGCTTGCTGTGCACATCTAACAGTCACTCCCCTCAAATTAGGGAAAGCGTTAGGAATATTATTGATGTATAGCCCATATACACGTGGCCTACTGTATCTAGGCTAATGACAAAGAATGAGTGACATGTTTCTTCACTCCATGCTGTGTTTAGCAGCGTCTAAATTGTGTGGAGAGCTGTTACATAAAGAGAGCTCAGCCTGCTGAAAGAACAGTGTTCACTCTGAACTGCTTTAATATTGGATTAGTGCCACTTCACTTCATCTGACTTAGCCGTCTCTGCTGTTCTGCCTCTCAGGGCTAACTTCACTCTCTGAACTCATGGCCAGGCTGTTTAAAAGGCCAGAGCAAATATTCTCCTGTGAATGTTTTTAACTTCTGCTAGAAAGACTGCCTCATGTTCTTCTTCTCGAGAACTTGACTGGCAGTTCAGCTGTGCAGAACACTCTCTGGTTATAAATATGTAAAATCACACACTGATGCAAGATTAGTGGCTTTGGTTTAAACTCTCCTGCACTTAATGAGCATATTCACTCATTTCTGAAACACTCGCACTCCCACAACCGTTCCACTGACCGACACATGCTCAGCTGAAACCATTGCAGCATCTTGGAAATGAATGTTGATCTTTTGACTCACTCTTTATGAACATCCAGACTGGCCTTTGACAATGGAGGACTTGCATGTGTGTTGATCTTGACAGGGTGGCGGTTGGCGTCAGCGCTGGCCGGTCGGACAGGAACGTGACTCAGTAAACCCAGACCGTCACCAGTGCTACCAGCAGCCTGGTGTAGCCACGGACTGGCTGTGTTCTAAACACACACATGGAAGTTGATGAATCAGTAAACTGAAAATGTAATATATTATTAATCAAATGTGAAAATCAGTGACTGGACTAAACTGTGTCACAACTGTATGCTGGGATTTCTTGGCACTGAGAACTTTGTTATTTCCAATCATTCTCCAATGTTTTTATTTCTCAAAAACCAGCCAGCCACATGAATAGGTTAAGTTAATCAAAGATTACATATGTGTAAATGTTCTTACCCTCCTGAGAGAGACCTCAGAATTCACGGTGACGGGATTTTCGGGGTGAACCCACTTCGCTGCAGGGGACAAGCCAAGTCCTGGAGGGTAAGAGGTTGGTGTTCCATTAGGATACGGCCAGAGGATGGGGTAGAGGCCCAGCCCTGCTGCCCCGCTGTGAGCCTGGGTGAGTAGTGGGGGTGGAGGAGGACCTTGTCCCTAAGAAACAAAACATTTTTTTTTCATTTTAATCCTTTAAAAGCTAGTCATCACATCCACTCCTAGAGCTTTAAAAAAGTATGTACAATATTTAGAAACAAACCTGTAGGAATGGCTGCTGGTGTGCGGCTGCAGGGTGAGGTAGGCCAAGGTGACCCAAACCACCAGGGGAGTCAAGCCGAGGATGTCCCCCGAGGAGAGATGCTGTGGGTGGAGGCATAGGAGGGAGCACCCCATGGGGTAAAAGGTGTGGATGAGGTAGGGCAGAATTGTGAGCTGCAGCCAGGAGATGAGAGGTGGCATGGGGGTGGGTTGCAGGTGTGAGGCAGGGGGAGTGAGGGGAGGGAGAGTGCAGGGTGTGCAGGTGAGTGTGGAGATAGGCCGCGACGTGATTGGAAGAGACGGAGACAGCAACAGAGTTCTCTGCATCAGAGCGGACCAGTGCTGGGTCCCTGTAAACGGTGAAAGTTTCATTCTTATCGATGATCAGAGGACTCTTGGTGCTGCTGCCCGACTCTGACCGCGATGGAACTGGCTTAAAACCGGACCTCACAGGTTCTGGTGTTTCTATTTTAGCAGACAGACGGCCTGTGGGAGGAGGAGAGCTATCCAAGTATCTCGGTATTTTATGTTTGGAGACCTCTGGGGAGGTGTTGGGTTTAGGTTTGGAGATGTCTATCAGGCTGGGGTGGGCCTTAGCTTTGTGGAGTTCATTTGGGTTTGTGTTGGGATAGGGATGGCTCTGGGTGTTGTTTAGAAGCTGGGGTTTTTGCCTAAGAGAGTCATGCTGAGGTGTGCCGGGGTTTGGGCTAAGGCTCATTTTGGGTTTAGCTAAATCAGAGGAAAGGACTGGATTTATCTTCTGAGGTGGCGGCGGCTGCTGTGGATGTTTTCTTGTCTCTTCAGATAAAGGTGGGCTCTTAATGCCAGATTGGATAGATGTGTAGTGATGCTGTGGTTGAATGTGTGGCTGAGGGTGTGGCTGAGGTTCAGAATGCTGCTGCTGATGCTGCTGTTGATGAAGATTATGATGAGGAGGAACAGGCTTCTCCTTCTCCACCAGCACCACACTATTAGCTATTGATGTAACAGGCCTGGAACAGAAAGACGGAAGATTATTTGACCTAAAATAAACAAAAATTTGGATTTGAACCTTACAGTATTCTGTCCATGACACCATTTTAAACTTTTTCCATTTATACATATACATATATATATATTTATACATAAGTGATGCTGTTTTTAGGAAAACACCAGACAAATATGTTGGAAAGAGGGACCTGCCAAAAATGAATAAAGTTGTCAGAATTGATCTCTTCTCACCTAATGACCTCAGAGGGAGCAAACTCTATTTTGCTGCCAACACTCCTGGCAGCTGCCAGGGCACCTCCCACCATGTTTTGTTGCTGCTGCTGTTGCTGCTGCTGCTGCTGCTGCTGCTGTTGTTGTTGTTGCTGCTGTTGCACTGGAGGCTCAACATCCGTTCTACGTCCTCCTTCTGATGGTGAGGGAGAGGGTGGAATGGGCGGTGAGGAAACAGGAGAAGGATTGAGGAGGAGGTAAGGTGAGAGGGCCGTGGACTCAGCCTTCTGGGAGGCCAGAAGTGCTGACACAGCCTCCGAGCTCTCGCGGTGCACTGTGGCCTGGGCATCGTCTGTGATGTCGATGACACCGCTGCTGTGGAGTTGAGTGGACGATGGGGTCTGGGATCGAGGAGATGCTAAGGAAAAAAAAGTTTAAAAAAAACATGAATGCACAATTTAGAAAATGAAAGATTAGCTTATGGTCATGATGTCTATTGTTTGAGTCTACCTTTCACAGTGTTCTTGCTCTCGATGAAGCTTCCCTGGATCGGTTCAGACATCACAGACTGCTGCCGGGGAGAATGGGCGATGTGTGTTACGGCCACTAAGTCCTCTGCCTCTTTAGGGGTCACTTTTCCTGTATCCTTGACCACACTTTTTTTGCTCTCCTCCGCCTGAAGTTCCACCCACGGGGAAAGCCGTCCAATTAGAGATGAGGAATTGTTCAGTTTGGCGCTTTGCACTAGCGGTTTCTCCTCCTCCTCCATTTTGGAAACAGAACTCGGTTTAACGTCACTACTGAGAGTCTTCAGTTCATTCTCAGAGTTTGGCTCTGAGGAGGAGGACGATGAGGAAGATGAGGAGGAGGAGGAGGAGGAGGAGGAAGAAGAGCAAGACGAGTGGGCGGTCCTTTTGTTGTGCGGGTTTTCTGAGTCACTGCTCTCCGACAAATCAGACGTCATGTCAGTCTTTAGCCTCTTTAAGCCTGCCTTCTTCTCATCTTCCTCGCCCTTCCGACGTTTACTGACCACCTGTTTCACCTTGGACTTGGATTCTAGAACAAACACAAAGGCAATGGTTTTGAACAGAATTTAAGAAGTGCTTAACATCTCTAACGCATATTGATTATAGTAATGAATTTAATGCATCCAATTTAGTTTGTGTGGTGAAAACTGCCTTAAGTCATTTACTTAGACTGTCGGAGTCTTAGAGTCTGATTCACCGACAGACAGACAAGATCGCAACGCATTTTTGATAGATTTAATAAGCATAAGAACTTAACAGAACAAAATGTAGTTGGCTCTAAATATCTGCCTCACTAAACTGTTCAAAATCTCCTCAAATTAAACTAAGCTATACTGAATTCAGGGCAAAATCTTTAAAGATCATGAAATACATTATATGAGTTAATAACTAATATAACAATGTCTTTGTCTTGCTGAGACATTTATGGTTTAACGCTTATCCACAGAGACAAAAGGTGCACATATACTGACATGATACAATACTTCCAAACTTTTCATTATTGTCCTATATTATGCTGATCTGATGAGGCTCAACTGCACTGCTAAATTCAATTCTCTCAGCAGTTGTTTTTGTTTTGGATTTCTATACATATTTTATTCAGCAGATAAACAGGCCTTTAAATACCAATTTGAGTTCATCTGAGACCGTGACTAACAAGTCCACTGTCACTTCCTGCCCTCTAATTAAAGTCATACACACAAATAAGAGCATATGCTATTACATCATCTCTAACTTTATGACACAAACTAATTCCTGACAGACCAGAAATCATCGCCATAAAAGTTTTATAACAGAAGCACCTATGAACGTCTACCCTTAATTTTACAGCCGTGTGTGACGGCGACAGTCCTCACCTCTACCTGTCGTATCCTCCCTCCTGTCCTTGTCCTCCTCTGGCACGCTACTGTCCGATCCTTTCCTTCTTGAGGAGCGTGAACTGCGCTGCTCCCGCTGTTCCCGTCCATTGCCGCCAGGTGAATGGTGTGATTGGCTGGCTGGCTGCTGGCTCTGCTGTGATAGGCTGTGCTGCTGAGATGCCAGTGCTCCCTGGGAACCCTTTTGGTTGGGGCCGGATGAGTTCATGATAGGACGGGGGCTGTTGGCCTGGGCTCGTGTGTAATGACTCTGTAAGATTAGAGAAAATTCATGGTTCTTCACTAAAATCTTTATGAGAATTTTTTTAATAAAACCATCTATAACACTACTATTTTTACAGATTGATAAAAAAGTGCACAGCTGTTTCTGGTCCTTTTCAATGGTTTGTGTTTCACTGCTAAATACCAAGGAAGACTGTTTACAACGAACATGTATTTGTGAAAAGGATTTACATGTGTAAACAAAGACAGAGACAAAAATTTTAATTTCACTGCGAGTCCTTTGTGTGGCCAGTGTGCCACAGGTTAAAAACTTTTAATACAGTAAGCAGAAAAGCCTTCAAGTAAACACAAAACTGAAAGCGGGCAGTGTGTCAAGGATCTGAGGCAGCTGCATTATTTGTTTTTGTTTCCCTCACCACTAGGTGCTGCTGCATCATACACTCTGTACCTTTAAACAATGACTTGGTCAAGAGCCACAAAACAAGGTGTTGTGTTGCGCTACTGTTTTGTTTTCTTCACGTTGCAAAATGACTTAACGATGTTGCATCAGACTAAAGTAGAGTCCACCCAGCAGCACAGGCAGCTATGCCATTCTGATGAACTACCATGTTGTGTTAATGACCCTGTCTGGGACAAGTGCAGTGTAAACTGTTGAAGAGGCTGTGACTGTGCCTTCACATTACATGACACAGACACATATATGATCATAAAATCTATTCATGTGCAGGAGATTTGAAAACCAGGAATAAAACAACATCTCAACATCAAAACTTGGAATTAAAAACTATCACTACTTTATCTGTTAGTAGTGCATCTTGGGAAAGATGTGAGGTGTGCAGCTTGAGTGGGCTGTTATGCTGGTTGGGAGAGGGTACCTGAGTGTTGCCAGTGGTGCCGCCAGGTCTCCCTCCTGCCATCTTTAATTGAGTATTGAAGAGGAAAGAGAACATTTTAGAAAATCAAATAAAATTGATTAAAAGAAAAAAAGTAATTTTATGTAGAAGGTTTTGTTAATGACTCTTCTTGGCTGATTTTTTAATGCACTGGTTCAAGAGTGAGCTCTTTTTTACACAGTTTGCCTATTATTTCTGAGCCAAAAATATCAAACTCTGAATGGTTTCCTGCTGTTCAGTCTTGAGCTCAGATAAATGACAGGACTCGACCGCATACACGAACATCAGAGTACTGGACGTTTCTGTGTGTTTTTAATAGGGCTAAATATGTGACTAAGGGATTAAAGTAATATTCAAATCTAAATTACTGCTTGAAATTGAAAAGAAGAAAGAGACAAAATACAATGTCATTAGCAGCACAGCTATAATCTACTGTCAGGACGTCTTAGCAGTAGTGCGTCTCACGGTACTTACATGGGCAGAGTTGTTGTTCTGGCTGGAACGTGACCTTCGTCTGGAGGTGATGCCGATGTTTTCTCCTTTCAGCAGCGAGTGTACAACGTCATCCAGAAAGGTCATCTGGACCATGGATGGATCTACGTTCTGAGGCTCTAACACCTGAACACACATCAGATTCCCTTTAGACTGGAGCAAAACCAGGCGAATGTATTGTAAAAACTGTGAATGTATGTGTGTGTGTATGCTGCACCTGGTCATTCATAACGACCATGTTTCGACTGAAGAGGTCGTGGTGTGTAATGATGCCTGTGAACCATTGGGTGGCTGAGTCTTGTCTATACACACGCACGCGGTAGCCATTCAACGAATAAGGACCTGGAAGAGAAGTGTTGTGTTTCTATTAACACGGCACATTCATTTAATTCATTCTATAAACGCAGTATAAATGTTTTGGACCATGACTGAGCTGAAGCTGTCCAACACCGAGGCAGAACAGCTCAGGCTGAATAATACCATATTATTTTCAAAAACTGTAAACCTGAAACTTTGTCAACTTTTAGTTTTTGACTGACACATTTAAACTAGTGACTGACACATTGAGTTTTTGACTGACACATTTAAACTAGTGTTTAAGCTGAGAAATGTCGCCTAAGGCAGTGGTTCACAAAGTCAATGTAACATTTAAAACACAGACAGACAGAGTCCTGTCAGCTCATCACAATACACTTGTAGTGTAGTACTTCCTGCCCCATCCAGCCCTAACACATGCTTTAAGATATAAATACAACACTACATAATATGCTGGCACCATCATGCTATTTTAGACTTCTATTTTTAAAACAACTTACCTTGCATAAAAATTTCCTGCACCTTCTGGTCTTTGAGCCAGGCTTTCACTTCTTCATGGAGCTGTGGGTTGTCTCTCAACACTGGGTTTTGACTATCCACCTCATCCTGAGTGAGACAAACACAAAGGACAGCAAAAGGTCAGCACTATCAGAGATGGAGAAGTGATGGTACAATATGTGCTGTATAGTGCAATACTGTACAATGGGTTTCTGACAGAATTTACTACACATGAACCAACGTCTACACAGCACACCACTGTTCCCGTCTGTCCTACAGAATCACTTACATCAGCTCACTAGGAAACTGTCACCCTTAGAAGCTTTTGTTACATACAGTATCTAAAGGTCATAGTGTGAGAGAGATAGGACAAGAAAGTAGTACTACAAACTGGTATCAGAGACGGAGAAATCAGCAATACATACAGAGGAAACTTTATACTGTACGTCTCAGGTCACGTCCAGCAGACGTTATGACGAGAAACTAATTATCAGTAAAAAATAAATAAAAATCAGTACTTCTACTGTTCCAGTATTCCTACTGAGGCAGACATGACAAAATATTCTAAAAATGAAATGCATTTTCTTTGCTTTGACCCTCCAGGGGAAAACCGCCCCCTACTTTGAGAATCACTGTATTCACACACACTCTCATATGTATAAACACAGCGTAGGGTGTATCAGTCTGCTCTTTCACTGATGGAACGATAGTAAGACTCGTGAACAAAAATAATCTGTGTGGGATGTGTGGCAAAAACAAGAAAACCTTGAGTTGGAAGAAAAAGTTTAAATGATTCATTTCACCCACTGAGTCAGAATTCCTAGATCTGGGCTGTGAACATAAATCCAGGAGAATACCCTCTGCAAACCAAATGCCTCTTAGAAAACACATTAGGGCAACGCATCAGTGCAACCTGAGCAGATCTATAACGCTACAAAGACAGACAGTGGGGTATAGAGTGAGCAGGAAGCAGTGCAGACTAAATGAGCCTTTCATTTCACCTTCCCATCTCTTCTTCTCCCTCCCTCTCTCCCTCTTTCTCTCTCTCTGCTGCAGTGTTCTAGTTTTTCAACCTCAGACTATCTTAAATCAGCATAAATGCTAAGAATAGCAGCGCAGTGGAAGGCAGTGCTACTGAGGTCAGCATGCGCCTCATATATTGGTAACATCATTCTAATCACCACACTTATGACAAAGACTGCCTCAGAGTGAACACTTCAACAGATTAATGTAGACAAACAACACATTCAAGGACAGGGGTTATTATCCTCCTGCTCGTTTCAAAGTGCTGGGCTGAGTGTTTTTCTGAAGGTACTGTTAAAATATTAGAGCCGGAGCTGGCAAAGACCTCAATACTTCATTTTCTATCTTCCTTCTTTCTTCATAGTCGTTTATAATTTAATTTACATTGAACTACTGCATGTTCCCATTTCTGTGGAGGTGGTGTTATTTGTGTTTATCACCTCTCTCTTCCTTCTTCATGCATAGACTGGAGGTCTATATACTGTCTAATTTTACTTATTGATTCCAGCATAGTAGTAACAGTAAGTATATTCAAACCAAATAATAAGTACAAATGATGTGTTCTGGCCAATTTTTGGCACAAGTGACGGTAACTATGGTAATGCAGAGCTAAGCTAAATTTCAACTTCCCTGAAACACAACTGTAATGGCACCCAATCTGCTTGCGCCATTATGTCCGTTATGTTTTTCATGCATGTTAACTTTAGTTAGCACAGACAAGACTCAAATGGAAGCAATCTGAGAACATTATTCTTTTACAGTTGTGTAGCAGCTTGTTAATAATTCAATATTAATAGAAAATAGTACACATGTATACGGCTGTGCATCTATTTCTGCTGCTGGCTACTTTGGCTCACTGTGCCTCTGTTTAAGAGTACCCACAGAGTTGGTACTGTTGGTAATTGGTACTGTTCAGCTGCAACTATCCAGCCTGACGTTACCTGATCTTGTAGCAGAAAAATAATCAACCCCAATGTCCCACACTAATTGGGTTTTTTCAGGCAAGTATTAAGCAGAAGTTTGGCCTACATGATAAAGGAAGTGACAATTGTGTCTCCTGGAGACGGCTAGTTGGACTCATTTAACTCTGAGTCAAGCTTTTGTTCACATAGTCAGGACACATTTAGACGTTGTTGAAAGTATTAGACAGGACAGAAGACCTATTTACTCACAGACAGTATCAACATTTCCACACACAGTGAACTAAAACAAATGATGCAACATGAATCTTTTGTCCTCAGTCTTCAAGCAGACCATGTTTTTGTGACTGTGGGACGTTTGTAAAAGTCCTGCTGTGAACAACACACAAACCCACACGGAGCCACGAGGACATCTTGTGCATCAGATAATTAGTGATGTAACAGCAAATATGAGGCATTCACAAATATATTTGGAGACAAAGACAGATGGTTTGCAAAACACTTCAAACACCCTTATTTCTAGGGACCCTCTCTGTTACCATGGAGATGGGAGAACTGACGCAGGAGAGAACAAACCGTGACAAGAGTTTCTGATGTCAGTCTTTAAAAAATGACAGATAACTTGCTGCCAGTAGAATATCGTGATCAAAACAACTGTAGATATAGTATTTTCATAGAGAGACACAGTGGACCAGAGAGAGTACCTTTGCTTGGGACTCATCATAAGCGCCTCTGAAATTGATTCATTTAGTAGCAAGCGTAACAATTTTAATGTACAAATGCCAACTGAGGTATGAACATATTCAAGTTCTTTATTTATCCTGGAATTAATGTGTCACGATTCGGTATTATGTGATTTTTTTCCCTCTCATTCTTCTTCTGTACTGTATTTGTATTTTTCATTGTTTTTTTTTTTGGTTGTTTGCCAATCACTCAAGGTTGTGAACAGACAGTCAGGGTTGCTTTTGTTTCCTTGGTTTCTTTTGTAAAGTGTCTTACATTGTTGTGTAAGTCTTACGGTGGCTTTCTAGTGTTGCAGGACCAATTAAATGAATCACAGGCAGATCATTCGGTTTCTACTTGCTGCTGAGACTTTGACAAGATACAAGATAATACCTGTTTGTAGGGCTTTAACATTCTGGGGCAGCATGAATGACGGCCATGTGTGACTCTCAGCTGAACAGGGTTGAAGAAAGAGAATCAACTGCCTGCATACATTCACTACACTAGCATAAGCTGACAATGTTGGAAAGGTTTCCAAACAGAAACTCGAGAAACTCATGAGATTTTGGTTGGTGTGCATGTGTCATGTTCCTACAGTAGAGGTCTAGAAATCTGTCTGATGACAAGTCTTTACGCTGGGTTTCTGCCAACTCTGTCTTTTGTTGGAAGCAAAACAAGCAGCGGGGAGGTGACATCATCAGATGTTGTTTCTCTGGCAGCATCACTCAGTAATAAATCAATCTTGATTAGTTTAATCGCACTTCTAACCGGACAGTAACGTGTGAGCTAATGTATCAGATGACAAGAGAGTAGTGAGTGTCAGCTGGCAGTCTGCATGCAGCACAACACCACAATCACTACAACAACTGCAGATGACCCCCTTCCCCTCCCTGGGGAGGGATTACTCAAGGGTTTTTGGCAGAGACAATTTCTATAGGTGGTATAGTCCGAAGACTTTTATGACAGTTTCCTTTTGACTTTAGCTGTAAACAACCAAGGGCATCTGTGTAGGAAGACAGGTTTCAATTCATTTAAAGCCCTAACGGTTTAAAAGAGAAAACATCACTGCTGCTGCTGCCGCCACAACACTAGTTGGAAAAACACACTGCTTTGCTGCTGCTGCTGCTGCTGCTGCATGTGTTTGTGGGTCAAACCCTTGAGTCAGCACTAACAGTTTTACTCCCCACCTCCTGTCCCTCTGCCTCAACACACACCATAACTTTCTTATAGGAAAAACACACACACACACACACACACACATACGTAGAGGAGGGCTGGCCCACTTAACAGTGACTTCATTGTACCATTTATGCCAAACAGATTGTAGCTCCCCCTCCTCCCTCTCCCTCTCCCTCCAGCCTTCCTGTCCAACTGGAAAAACAGAGAGAGGCGTGGCCACTGCTTCATTGCTCAAACTCTAAGTGTGTGTGTGTGTGTGAGCTGAGTGTGTGTGAAGGAGAGAGTCAGACTGTTTTTTATTGCTCTGCAGGGTTCAAAGGTCTCCAGAAGAATAGGCAGCTCTGTGTGCACAATGAGGAGAAAAGAGAGCTGGATAGAAGGATTCTCTCTCTCACTCTCTCTCTCTATTTGTGTGTCTTTTCAGTCAGCAATTCCTAGAAGTCAACTGCTTTATGGGACTACTGGAGTGTGGTGATGCAGTCTCAAAACATGCAGAACATGTGGTCTTCAAGGTGGTTGAACTGACCCTTGGCTACAACTCTTGGCACTGAGTTACTAGCTTTGCTAATGTGGGCAAAATATCTTTGACTTTAAAAGTGTTCCATTTGGAAATTTAACCTCTACAGCATGACTGCAAATTCTGTTGCTCCAATTACAAGGGGCAAACATGCATAGGATTATAAATAGGAGAATAGCGTTATATATGGCACAAACTCTGTAGAAATCGATATCTTTTGACTGATTACACGGTAAGACAACGGGCTCACACTAACCAAACGACAAGAGTGTCACAGCTGTTTGTAAAGTGTGACAATAACCATTTTTATCTGTGGTGAATGTCCCCACAGACACAGGCTGGCATTAAAACCTGGAGCTGTGCACCCTGTGTAACTCCATGTCTTGGACACAGTTGCTATAGAGATACTACTTAAGGACCAGACACGCTGCCATTGGTTGGGCTGGACCACCAGTGTTTTTCTGATTGTACCAGTGACAGCAGAGAGTGGAGATAAAATGAATCGAGTTAATGACGGATTTAGTCTTCTACATCTATTCAGTGCTGCACATAAAAGACCTCCATTTATGACTCAAATGCATACGCAAACACGGACGTGAAGGCATCACAGGAATAGATGACAGGTTATTTCCTTTGTGTTTCTTCTCAGGTTGTGTGATCTTCATTTAAGTCAATATAATTCCAAAGGTCTGACATGTGATTATAAGAATTGTGGGAATTCTACTTTAATTGTTAATGGGGTTGCCTCATTCACAGCCCTCACAAGTAAAAGTCGTTACATTAACCAGTTAAGTTAACCAGTTCTTATTGACCTTGTCCAGTTAACCACTTCTTTAAAGCCCCCAATTACACTGACAAACTACAAGTGTGCATATGTACATTTTTAACTCAGTCCACTTCAGTCCAGGTCATCCCAGACTCCATGGGGAGACAATTAGGTTTACAGGCTGTCATTGTCACAGATACCAGCAGTGTGTGTGTGTGTGTGTGTGTGTTTCTCTGTGTGTGCACGTGCATGTACTTTTTTGTGGTAAATAGGACAAGCCACCAGGGGATAGTAGAGACACTTTTGTAAATTCCACACCATTCAGCGTGTTACAGTATTTTTGCAAAACATAATGCTGCAAAAAATATAATAAGCAAGCACTGCACTTCAAATACTTTACACATGCATAATACTAAGGACACTGATATTTCACTCTATCTGTAACCACATGGTTTTAATTCCTCTAATATAACAATATCAGACCAAAACTGCAGTTGCGATCCCTGGTTTACTATTAAATACCATATTTTCATAGTCAGCCATGACTTTAAACTAAATCTTTGCAGATGTGAAACAGGCCCACATGGTCAGCACTGGCTTTCACTTTTAGTTTTTCTGCCCTCTATTATGATGGCACATACGAAAGCCATAAGTCTGTACCAAAAATATTTTAAACAAAGCATAAGTGTAAACATATGAGACAATGTAGAAGCCCTCAATCACAGGAAGAACCGAAGACATCTCAAAATAATCACACAGCAATCTTTTGGGAATAGGAGGCCTTGAACAACACAGAATCACCTGACATGGCTATACGTTCTGCCAAAAAATAAAACAATGTGATCAAAGAATTGTAGGAGACCAGGATTAGAAAAAACAAAAACTGTTTGATCAAATATTTTGTCCCTTCTCCTTGTCCTTTCTGAGGCCAAGTCCTGGTGTTAATTGTTCAACTGGGACTAGAAGAAAATCTGCAGTCAATGCAAAGTCATACAAACAACAGGTTTTCAATCAAAGAGGAACTCATGTCAATACAACTGTTATGGGAGGACCATTAAAAAAGGATCAAGCTGAGGAGAAGGAAAAGAGAAGCCCAGAAAAACTTCAGTGAGGGTCTCTAATAAAAACAAAAAAAAAAACAAATATATATACTTTTTCAATTTAAACAAAACCAAATTCTTCATGTGTCTCATGCCAGGGTCTGTTTTGTTGGGACATCAAAAAATATTTATAGCCATCCTGACAGCTCATTGAATTTTTGATTATAGGCTGTGTGCCTTTCTCCATGATGTAAACACTTTAATACTTCCGCTGTCATTATATAGCACTAAGACCAGGGCTATGATTTAAAAAAGAGATGGAAATACTGCTTTATGTAATATTTCATCCTTCATTCTAATATGAACCAGCTTCACAAACTGCGGGCCACTAAAACTTGTCCTTTCCCGGTAGGAATAAAAGACCACTGGATCAAGAATGGCTACAACGATTCAGAATGACCAAATTAAATGATCTCACTCAAGTATTTATTTTTTCCAAGTTGACTTCATTGATTGTCTAATGTGTTTGTGTTAGATGATCAGGACATGGTAAATGTTCTGGCCTCAGTGAAGAAACCTTGGTTAAGGGTTGGCTACAAAACATTGCTTTTAAAACAAACATGTGGCTTAAACTGAACTGTAGCCCATATGAAGATTAGAACGGAGAAATACAGGAGCTCGAGGTTAATGAGTACTATTCGTAGTGAAAATATTTGGTCCAGTGGTGACAGTTACAAAGGAAATGATTCGGATTTGCTTTCTAAATGCTAAAATATGATTTACCTGTGTTCTGCAACATGACCCATTTAGGATACCAATGTGCATGTTTAAGTTAGTACATTTAAAAAGAAGACAACAGTCTAGGGTTTTTTTTGTTTTTTTGGAGTGGAAGCATTATACAGTACTACTGCTGTACTTCAACAAAAACTAGTCTTAATAACACTGTTGGACTCACGTCTCCACTTTCTATTGTAATAGCACATTTCTACTGAGTTAGTGAAGCTATTTCTGGCCTACGCCCAGGACTTGGCTATTGTAACCAGATGGCTGCATTTATGTCTAGTATACAGCCTATGGGAGCATCACAGCAGACTAGGCACTGGTGCCAAGTTACCTTCCCTAATGGAAAGCACCCTTTCCACTTAAGGCATGAGTCACCCACATGGTAACCCAATGGATCTGAGTCCTGATTGGATGCACACAAAAGAAAAAGAAAAAAAAAATTCTGCCCCTGGTATTTGAATTCATCCTGAGCGCAAACTGATGACGGATGGCCAGAGTGTGGAACACAGTCTTCCCATCTGGTTGACACTGAGTGGAACACAGTGTTCCAGCCAGCACAATACAAGCTGTGTTCAGCTGCGCAGCACTGACACACATACACACTCTAATTAAATACACAGCCGCATAACACAAGCATACAGCCCTGTGAATTACTGCATGTTGTGAAGCTACACTTTCTAGTGTGTGTCAGGATTTATGTGTGGGGACGTGTTGCTGTAATTTACAAGTCACTATTGAGAGGTGGTGTAAAATCAGTCATAGGACAAACTGTGAGTGCTCATGTTAGCATTCTTTCACACCAGACCCTGGCTCTGTTGCATCCATATGGAACACAGCACCTAGCCCCTGGATGCTAGCTACCACCAATGAAACCATCTCCAAGATTCAACTAATTAAGAATGAATACATTCTCATGGTTACAGTATGCAGCTCTGACTGCAGGCAACAGATTCATATTTTTATAATCAACCATCCATTGTTTAATCTGTTGAAGAAAAAGGTCCAAACCTGTGACCTTCATGCTCCAAGGTCACTCATATGTGGACTAATGGTGAGAATTACCCATAAATATTTATAACCTCAATGCATCTACAATACAAGCCAATGTCCTACATACTGATAACTATATTTAATACAATGCTGTCTACCAATAGCCATGTTGAAATCCTTCCGAGGTAGACTAGGCCAGAATTTAGCTATACAGAGAAACATTTATTAAACTAAAATGATTCACCTGAAGGTGGAGCTCTAAACACAATGTGTAAGGTGAGTGTTCAGTTACTAAATCTAATGCTTAAAATTGATTTTATTTTTTTAAAGATTCTCCTTTGGAGACCAGTGCAAGTTACATATTCTTTTGTGGATTATACTCCTAAGTGTCCAGTGATGTATAACAAATTATTTAGATAAATATATATATTTAAAAAATCAGTTGCAATATCAAATATCAGATGCAAACAGAAGGCATAGTTACAATGTATTTATTTTTATCAGGTAGTTGTTATTATTTTAGGTCTAGGTTTGTAATCAGATGCAAACAGAAGGCATAGTTACCCAGAAAGAATAAACAACAGATAGAGACAGAAACAGAAAGAGACACAACACACTGTTTACGTTCCTGGTTCCAAGGCCTCTGTTTAACTAGGACTCTATGCACACATATAACCTATTTTCACTTATACTGTTGTTTCCTTTACAAACACTGCCTTGGTAAAAGAATATGAAGTACACACTGTATGAGTCTACACACTCCAGTCGCAGTAGTGCAAAGAGATACTGAGGTATTTCTGATGTAATGTCAGGAGTGCTAGCTGCTAGCATTAGTGTTGTAATATAGTTGGGAAATACAATAGTTATTTACTAACCTATCAGCTGCAAGAACAGCTCCTTTGCAAGTGTATAACACATGTTTGCATCATATGTTAAGTGTGTAATGATGTTCATTACCTGGTATGGTTGGAAAGTTGAATGGTCCGACAGGAAGTCCAGCTGTTGGTCTAACAGGAATTCCACTGCTGTTACGGATGACAACAGGCTCTTCCCAACCACTGGCTTAAATGCCTGAAAAATAAAATGTTTAAAATACTGAGCAAATTCATTTTCCAAGTAACATAATGATATCAGCAGGACAACTTGGTCCAGTGAGCAATCCAATCATAAAGTCACAGCATGCATTGCATTAAGTCTGAAATAAAATGAACATTATAATTTATTTTGGAACAGCAGATCTAAAATAAAAGTAATGAAAAAATGAGAAGTGAGGCAGAGTGGAGGCAAAACGAGGGAAGGGAGATGAATGACAGAGCTACGGAAAGATTAGAGGGAGAAAAGACACGAGCAAAGACGTGATCATGAAGAGAGGCAGAGAGACAAAGAGAGCAGGAGAGAGAGAGAAAGATGGAGGAGTGGAAGACGGAGAGCTCCACAGCGCTGAATAAATTAATAAGCAGCACGCGGCTGACAGTTCAAAGGACTACACTCTACTTTGAAGTTGCCTTTTTTGGTGAGCACTCACTTCTGTGCAAACACACACACACACCCACACTCGCACAATGTGGAAGTCTGTCAGGCTGCAGTCAAACTGTCAGCTCTTACTGTACACACAGAACAGGGCTTTAATGATTACTCAACTAATACTCCACTTTAGAAATCAACAAGCCATTCTGAAAATCAATTCAAATTCATTGACTTCAGAAGCAGAAGAATCCAACACAGATTCACACAACCAAATGTGTCCTCTGTGTCCTCTGTCCTATTCGTGTAGCATCACACATAGCATTTGAACCTGCAATCCTCTGAGAAGAAAGAAATCTGAATAAAATCTAATTCTCTTGTTTAAAAAAACATTTGAAAAACACATAATATGGTTTCGGGACTTTGACAGATCCTACAATATTAAAGTATCTGATGCGAAATGAAACCACCTTAACATCTAAAACATGTCTTCATTCAGGTGTTCTCTGGTAGTGTCACTGGATGAATGTATTGATCTCTCTGTTATCAGGCGTAGAAGCATCTAAAAAGCACATTACGGGGGACATAAGACTTAAACACAACCTTCAGTACTACACTAACACAAAACGTGTAGCTGTGTGATGAACAGTCTACTATGCCTGCACAGAAAGAGAGTGCTGCTCACCTATTTTCAATGTACACGTATTTGCTTGTTCTCATGAAACACCACTGTAGAAGTGCTGTAATAATGCATGTGTTTGTAGCAGGTGTCTGTGCGGCAATGATTCATGATTACATAACTCTAATAGAGAGAAGTGAGACTAGAGGTGAGAACCACGACCGCTGTGACCCTCCTCCTGCTCCAAAGAGACACACACACACACACACACACACGCCCGCAGGAGGCAGCAGGACATTGTGCGTGCAAGCAGAACCTGATAGCGTGTGTGTCTGCAGCTCTATTTCTGTCTGTCTACACGTATCACATTTCTGGCAAACACTGGCAGCATGGAGCTGGCAACGCAGGCCACACTGCTGGACATTATTTTAGAAATCGCTACTTTTTATTTTAGTAAGTGTCACTTTGCCTTTGGCAGCAGACCGAGTCCCAGATTGAGCCTCGCTCTGGAGACTCATTAGAACACCGCAGTGACAGTAAGTATGTTAGCAAAGACTGCAATATCACACTTTGGATTATACATGGGACATTAGGTATATGGGGACATATGGTTTACAGGAATTGCACAAATGAACTTGTTACTCATCAGCTCAGCTTTAGCAGTCGGTGGAAGCGGGGAGTTATTTTCTCTGAAAAACAACATTCTGACAATTAAACCCACTTGACATGACAATGTGGCTGTGCAGGGGTGACATGAACTTTTCTCTCTCTTACCACTACCCCTCCGTTCGTTATATGGATATTTCTGTCACATCCACCCAAAACCTCCTCTGTATTTTACCATCAGATTTTAATGATCACACTTCTGCCACACTGCTATGGCAGCCAGCTTTTCACTCTGCCTTCTGCTGCTGTTTGGATACCAACCAAAGAAAAGAGTACATTTAGACAGTCTTTAGCACCAACTTTTATAATATGAGTGAACCTGCGTTTAGTTCTATGAATGTACAACATCTGAATCTCCCTGTGGCAGCACTGCTGCACGGGGAGCAATCCTGTGATAAAACTAACATCCTCAATAGGGTCAGGGTCAGGAAGATGACAGAGAAGGTTGTTCAGTTGACCACTGTGGACAACCAGTGCGAGGCAGTAGTAAAAAAAAAAAAAAAAAAAGATTGCTTCTGTCTAAGAGGATGACCTACTGTCTATGACTCTCACAGATCAAGAACAGAAAGGTTGGTGGATAAAAACCACCCTTATAGACCTATATATTTATATATATATCCCATATAAAAAGGTTATAGAAATGATGCCTTTTTTTATTATAATGATTGCATTTGCTGACTAATACAGAACACCAGATTCATTCTGGCACTCTGCTGTGCAGTTTAAATATCTATGCAAATATAAGTATTGCATCAGAACCTGGGAGCTGCATTCACACTGGCACCTTCTACTTTCAATATTGTAATGTTTCACCAATACTTGCAGCAATACATTCACTTGGATTTTGCCTGAATCCATGGTTTATCAAGGTTCTGTAACCAGGCCAATGCAGCTGAGGCTTAAGTTGTTCTGTAAAACAGACCTGTGAGTGATACAGCAGAAAAAGTGATGAAATCTGTTTTTCTGCCCATGTTTATTTTTGACCTGAATATTTTATAGATTTAAGATGGAAGAGAAATATTGAAATGACCAGCACTGACAGGCCGTGTTTACAGCAGAGTCAGTGCAGATTCATGATGGAACCTTGACAAGGTTTACAGCACATTAAACAAGACCACGTCTGATAGGCCGTGCTTCCATGGTTACCACCGATGGCAGCAGCCTGCGGCATCACTGGTGAAACGACGGCTGACAGGACATAGAGAAATAGAATGAATCGACTCGATTGACATAAAGAAATGGGGAAGGTAAATAGGTCTATAGAACATAACTGCAGATCAAGGTGTAACAGGACATTTAAGGACATTTAAGGACATTTGAACCCTGCCACAGCAACCAACCACTCTATCTGAGGTCCAGCTTGTCTCAATGTGAGTGTGTTTCATCTTGCACACACTGTGCAGTCCCATACATTCTCTGTGGAATTTGTCATTAGTACAATATTCAGCAAATACTTTTTAGGTTCGTCTTTGCAGCACAGCTGCAGAAGGGAAAACTGGGATATGGTAAAAAAAAACAAGGAGACAAGGAGTTAGGATTAAAGATAACAGGATGTAGGAACTTGGTTGACTCATTTCAAAATTGAAGTATATGGCAGTGTGTCCTGCAAATGTCGGGTTGTTCTGATTATTTTTCCCGTTTCTTGCAAGTGGTCAGAATGTTACAACGTCTGTGGAAATATTTACTAGTGGAAAACAGACCTCGTAAGTGGCAGTGATGCAACTCAAATAATGCCAGCTGTTAATAAAATCCAGAATGAGTGATGAGGAGAGGAACAGGTCACAGCAGAAGAGGAACTGAGGTCAGAAAGAACTGAAGAACTGTTTGTCAGGGCTGGATTTAAGATACCAGATCTGACACACTGCCTTGCTGCCCTGGGTCTACTCCTCTCCCGCCGACTGAAAGGAAATTACTGTTCCACCATTCCTCTAAAATCACTTGTGCAAACATACACATGCATACACATACACACATAGACACACATACACCACTCATCCACAATTAGGTCACATCTGCCACAGTATGCCAGGAAAAACTGTTCTGTCACTGTGTATTTCCAGACAGGCCGGAGGAAAGTGGATGCACTGATGAGAGACACGCTCACTTACTGTCGCAATACACCACACATCAGAGGCAGTGGATGAAAATATACACTAATGTTTCCATAAAAGGAACCAAATAAGTAATGGCACATCCTGCACACACCCAAGCATGAGCTGGTACTGTCCATTGAAGTACACTTACATGGGAGGATGATATTAGAAAGCAAATGAGCACTTGTTTGAACAAACCACACAGACTCCACTGGCTCTGACTGTTCAGCCACATTTGCCTTGTGAATTATTGATACGGATTGCAGCAGAGTGTAAAAGAAAATGAGCAGAAGATGATGGAGCTCATGCATCACTAGGTGACCTTTCGTTCACAAACAAACACACACACACACACACACAAAGTCATAGGTCATTGTTGGAGAATTACACGTGTGACATTTTCCTGGTGACTCTTAACTTGAAAAAGACATTTTCTAAAATAGACTTTTAAAATGGATTTTGGCTCTATTTGTAAAAGCAGTTTTTTGGGGCTTTTGTCGTTATTTTAAAGCTAAACACCAACATGCTAACACAGGGTCATTTATCTGATGGAGGTTAAACAAGACCATAGAGTCACGGGTGGGAACTCATGCTTATCAGTAAGAGTTAGCACGCCTTTGGCCCCAACACTTCGACTTCCTTTTTTGTTGTTTAGTCTATAATAATCAAAAATATTGGTGGTAAAATAACTTTTTTTTTCTTAAATATGCTCTTATAGCTGAAACAGACGACAAAGATTAATGGATCCGTAAAACGAACTACTGTTGATGTAATGCATTCACACAAAAACACTTGCTGATTACATATCATTTTTTAAATAATGTTAAATATCTACAATGATTGAGGGTTTTCTGCATGTGTGGCAGTGCTGCATTGATGAGCCTCTAAATAGGTCACAGTACAAAGGGTTCTTTCCTAGACACACACATATACACACACACAGGTTGTCTTCTCATCTGCCCACTGTTTTGTGGGCAAATGACTGGAAGGCACAAAACACAGCAGTATTTCTTTCACTTTCAACAGTTCCACTCATTTCTTGTAGATCTAGCCCCAGCCCAACCCACAACTGTACTCTAGTATGACGGTTAAATCAACAATAATTAAACCATGAAATATTCATTTTGTTTACAGTTGTACACCAATGTACTTCTCACCCCAGGCACTTTATCACAGACAACAGCACTGGATGGCACAGCTCTCACAAAGGTGAAGGACACGACACAGCA